AGCCAACAACCTAACCTCGACGACCCCGACCCATCCTCCCCGACCCTCTTCTCACCCACGCCCTCACCCTCACCCTGACCCCCGACTATTCGTACTCGACCGACTCCCAATCTCAATCCCAACCCCGACTACCACCACTTTCACCACCGCCATCCCCTTCAGCCCAGCGCCTGCGACGTGGCTATCCGTCTCCCGCCAGTCTCGCGAGCACCTGACGGCCGTTACCCGAATTATTTACTATCGCCCAGCACGATACCGCCGCCGTGCGACGACGACCCTTTTCTTCAATTCTCGACCCCAGTACATACCTACTCATTCCACCACGACCACCCCCCGGCATTTTCGCAGCCCAGCTGATGCCGACCGATAATTTCCTGGCAACTCCCACCTCCGACACTCAAGGCTGACGGGCCGCTTTCCAATCCATCCCGCCCTGCCAGTGAAGAGTTGCAATCGAACACACCCACGCGCAGACAAGACGACGCGAACACTATTGCACCATGGCATCGGATTACGATCATGGGGCGCCGGACGACCGCTTGCAAGCCCACCCCGCCACCACCCCTATGGAACCTGGTTATCCCGGTGATGGAGTCTGGCAGAATGGAGGAAGGAAAACTCCTGAAAGAAATTACCGCTCACAACAGCCCTCGCGCTCACCCGGTCCCAGAACACCTGGTCGGGAGGGCGACTCAAGGCGGAGCGGTGAACGCAATAGATCCAAGGGAAGAGGAGGTGGGCGGTCAGCCAGCGGTCAACAGAGGACCTGCAAGAAGTGCGGAGAGCCTCTCACCGGTCAATTCGTCCGCGCACTGGACGGAACCTTTCACTTGGATTGCTTCAAGTGTCGTGTAGGTGTTGAGAATGCCCCCTGTCCTTGCCCGATTGTTCTAACCCGACTTTTACCACCAGGATTGCGGTCAGATTGTAGCATCCAAGTTCTTCCCTGTCGACGACGAAGGTGGTGAAGGGCAGTATCCTCTGTGCGAGACAGACTACTTCCGCCGGCTAGGTCTACTCTGCTTCCAGTGCGGTGGTGCCCTTCGAGGCTCCTACATCACCGCTCTCGACCGAAAGTATCACGTCGACCATTTTACATGCTCCCTGTGTCCCACGGTCTTTGGCGCGCAGGACAGCTACTACGAGCACGATGGCAACGTGTACTGTCACTACCATTACTCTACCCAGTTTGCGCAAAGATGCAATGGCTGCCAGACTGCAATTCTCAAGCAGTTTGTGGAAATTTACAGGAACGGACAGAACCAGCACTGGCATCCCGAGTGTTACATGATCCACAAGTTTTGGAACGTGCGACTGACGCAGTCGAGCGATCCCTCCGAATTACCCCAGGAGACCGACGACCCCGCGACGCGCGACATCATTAGAGAGGAGGAAGAGCGCATGGAGGAGAAGGTCTACCGCATTTGGAGCGTTCTGTCAACTTTCGAAGAGTCGTCTGCGGCATGCATTTCCGACATGCTCCTCCACGTGAGCAATGGCGCCTACGTTGACGGCGTGCTGGTCGCCAAGAAGTTCATCTGGCACGTTGAGATCTTGTTCCAGTCTGCTGATCGCCTGGACTACTCCATGGATCAGTTAAAGCTGAAGGGTGAGTTTGAATAGTCATACTCGGATCACGTTCTTCGCTAACAGCCCAGAAATAGGATTGTCGTATGGTCGTGAGGCCAAGCTTCTGTGCAAAAAGATAGTATCTTTCTTCTCGCTGCTGTCCAAGACTCAGGACACAGGAGCCCGCAAGCTTGGCGTCACTCAGGAGTTATTGTCTCTCGTCACGGGTCTTGCCCACTACCTCAAGCTCCTCATTCGAATCTGTCTGCAGGGAGCATTGCGCCTTGAGAAGGAGTCTAAGAGCTCCGACGGCATTTACCAGTTCCTGGATGACCTGAGTGAACTGGACAGCGTTAAGCCCGACGACAACACCCTCCAGGCTATTGCAGGCAACTCGCGCCTTTCGGCGAAGGACTCTGATCACTGTGCCCTCTGCAACAAGTCTGTTGAGGACGAGTGCGCAAAGAACTCTGACCGGCGGTGGCACATTGCCTGCGTCAGCTGCTCACGTTGCACTCGAGATATCGGTCGCAAGCTGGAAGATGCTCGCTACAATGCCTTTGACAAGAAGATCTACTGCAACAACTGCATCGGCGCCAATGGTGATGATATGCCGCCTTTTGAGCATGTTACCAAGCTTCAGCAGTACGTTTTCTTGCTGAAGGTGGCGCTCGCAAGGTTATTGGATATCCTGCGAAGCAATGGCGCTTTGCCTCGGCAAAACGATGACCAGAACTCGGATGGTTATGGTCCAGGCGAGGGTGCCCGAACCTTGGCTCCCGGAGAAGCACCCTACCTAAACTCAGACAACCGCTCGAAATCGTACGCTGGAGATCAACGGGAGCACAATCGCGAGTCTTCCTACGAGAACACGCTGAATGATGTCCGCCGATTGAGAAGTACTCGTCTCGACAAGCATTTGTCTTCTAGCTTTCGCAAGGCGAGAACGTCGCGCATCATGGACGGCCCCGAAGGACGCAGCGTTCGCCCAGGATCGGCAGGCGAGGACCTAGGCCGAGCCGATGGGGACCTCCATATTCTTGAGGAGAGAAGAGGCCCAAACGACGAAGACACAACGGACAAAATGTTCAACCACCAGGACGCTCTGACCCTGGATGATATCCCGCGAATCGTTGCTGCCGAACAAGTCAAAGAACAGCAATACAAACCCAACCGCCAGGAGCTCTTCCGGTCTCCCGCAACCGACCCCATGGGACATCAAAGATCGCAGTCGGCAGGTAGAGAGACTGAGATGCGCATGGGCGATGCGATGCCTCAGCGTCTGGGACGGAAGTACTTTTCGGAGCTCTCGGGATTAGAGTACTTCATTGTGCGTCATCTGGCAGTCTTGACTCTGGCGCCTGCTGTTGAGAATGAGTTTCCTTTGGAAGAGTTATTGAGCTTCATCGAGTCGAGAAAGCAGCCCACGTTCTGGAAGAACTTGGGCAAGGCCTTCAAGAACGACCGGCCAAAGAATGTCAAGAAGAAGGGCATCTTTGGAGTCCCCTTGGATGTCATCATCGACAAGGATGGCGCTGAGTCAACAGACGGTGTAGGTCCCGGAACTCTCAAGATTCCTGCAATCATCGACGACCTCATCTCGTCCATGAGAAAGATGGATCTTTCTGTTGAAGGTGTCTTCCGAAAGAACGGCAACATCAAGAAGCTGTCTGAGCTGTGCGAAAGAATCGACCGGGAAGGCTGCGACAGCATTAGCTTCATGGACCAGCCTGTTGTGCAGGTTGCCGCTTTGTTGAAGCGCTATTTGCGTGAGCTTCCCGATCCTCTTTTGACTCACAAGCTCCAGAAGCTCTGGATCTCCGTCGCCAAGATCCAAGACGATGCAAAGCGCAAGTCGTACCTGCACCTCATCTGCTGTCTCTTGCCCAAGGCTCACCGAGACTGCTTGGAGATCCTGTTCTGCTTCTTGAAGTGGGCGGGATCCTTCCACCAAGTGGATGAAGAAGCCGGATCTAGGATGGACATCAAGAATCTGGCAACAGTCATTGCACCCAACATTCTTTACAACATCAACAAGACGGTCACCCTGGACAGCGACCCCATGTTCGCCATCGTCGCTGTGAACGACATGATTACGTCCATTGAAGAGATGTGCCTGGTAAGATTGTTGTCCCGCCGCCAAAATTTCCCTTTTACTAATCACTTCTCATAGGTCCCCGAAGAGCTTATGGAAATGGTCAACGATCCATTTGTGTTCGGCAACACTGCCGATCTCACCACCAAGGACATCCTTAAACGTTACCAGGATCGTATGGGTCAAAGACCAGGATTGGGCGAAGTCAATGAGGTCTTTAACAGACCGGACAATTCATCCCGGCCTCCTCCCCGAAGGGTTGAAACTGACCCCGCTCTGTGGCAACAACAAGAGAGCAGTGTTCGCACTGTGCAAGAACCGCCCATGCCCATTCCTCCTTTCAACCAACCCAATCCTGGTACACCACCCCAGAGATGGCGGCCACATGAAGAAAATGGCCACCCTTCACCTTTTGGCGGAAGCCAGTACGAGCATTCAGATACCGAGGGTCCTTCCGAAGCTCAAAAGAGAGAGTGGCGCCAGTCAGGTGGGGTTTGGGGAAGACAGAACGGCGGTGTTGGCGTAGGTGGAAACACATAAGCCAGCCAAGCCAAACTGCAACGGCAAAACTACACACATATCGAAGAGTGATTTTCTATGAGGCTCACATCACTTGCTACGTATTCTATTGGGACTGCGATTTGGGGTTTCGGAGAGTCACATATCCATGCATTGTTGGCGGCGTTCCCAACCGTTTTTCATCAAAAGGACAAAAGATTGCTCTTTTGTTCGGCTACTCAACTCACGACAAGGCGGCATGAATGATTTCTTTTTCTTTTCAAAATTCACTTCCAACACTTTGTCAAACCCTCTGCTTCTTGGCTTCACTGAGAGTGAAGCAACATATCGATATGGAATGAGGTATCCTAACGGTCTGCTGGTGTTCTACGCATAAAACACGATCCTATCGTCTACTGGAAAGGGAGAGGAAAGAGGATTGGTGGTCTTGGTTTGACCCTGGCTTGTTTGGAGTAAAGGCCCAAGGTCCATTGACTTTGTCGATGGGCGAAACCGGTCTGGTTTGATTGATATGTCTCGAGCTGGACAGCTGGCCTCGTTTCTTCTTGGCTTGCGCGCGAGACCTAGTATAGCTTCGCTTCTTTTGTTGAAACAGGGAGATGTCGGATTACATTTGTGAGAAGATCTGGAGCCAAGAGGGAGGGGATGAGGCCGAACAGTGCGCCACATTTGCGCGCATCTCGAGAAAGGGGTTGGGGGGAATGGGGAAAAACTTGTTTGTTGTTCGTCTTTGAAGGACACTCCTTCGTGTAGCTACGGATGGAGTGAAAGGACCACCTAGGTAGTTCCGCCAATGCGAATAGGACAGGCCAAGCATCGCCTGCAGGTTTTCTCCAGCTTATTTCCTTTGGACATGTGTGCACACATGGTTGTGCTTCCGTTTCCTACAGAGTTGTTTAAGAGCTCATTCGCAAAGCCTGCCTACACACAGAAAAAGGCACAGAAGACGCAGTTGAAAGTATTGTTTGCTCATGACATGGCCACTTCTGGGCCGTTTATTAGTTCCTCTTGCATTGAGGGTGTATATGTATGTATATACGATGGATAAAAAAACTTGAAAACTTTTTTTTTTCAACATGAAGGTCTCATATCCCTAAAACACCACCGCCCCCATCATAACCATCATCGCCTTTGTACCAGCGCACCTTTTCATGCCTTGACACTCACCTTGCCAGCCTTCTCCTGGTCCAGGAACCACTGTACGCCCCTCTTGATGCCGTCGTCGAGGCCGACAATGGGCCGGTATCCGAGCAGGCGCTTGGCCTTGCTGATGTTGTAGTAGCGCGTCATGCAGCTGTAAATGCAGCGCTGGCGGTTGAAGATGGGCGGCTTGCCAATGATGGCGAAGAAGATTTCGGAGCAGAAGCCCAGGGCGATGCCGAACTCGCGGGAAATCTTCCAGGCGTGGTCGGTGCCCTTGTCGGAGCCGGCGGCGCGCCAGATGGCGCGGGCAAAGTCCCAAAAGTAAATGGGGCTGTCGTTTGTGACGAGGAAGGCCTCGCCATCGACCTTTTCGTGGTCGAGGGGTGTGATGGAGGAGGCGGCGGTGGCGAGAAGGAGGCGAGCGGCGAGGAGGTGGGCGTGGGCGACGTTGCCGACGTAGGTGAAGTCGAAGAGGTTGTCGTTGTTGCCGAGCTGGACGCCCGTCTTGCCCTCGCGGTAGATCTTGACCATTTGGTGCGTCACCATGGTGTCGCCCTCGCCGAAGATGCCTGCGGGGCGGATGGCGGATGTGAGGAGGGGGTAGGGGTCTTGGCGGTTTGCTTCGAGGACCAGTTCTTCTGCGGCGGCCTGTGAAGGATCACATGTCAGTCATTGGAGCCGCAACGAGACTTTAGGAAGAAGCAGAGGAGATTGGATATTCGCGCTGGAAGAGCAATGGAGGAGGCTGGCGCGCGCGCACCTTGGTCTCGGAGTAGTACTCCGTCTGCAGTTCACCGCGGATGACGGGCCACCTCTCATCGGCATTGATGAGGTCGGTGGCATTGTCGCTAATGATACTCGCGGACGATGTGTAGACGAGAGCCTTTACGGAGGCGGCCTGGCAGGCGGCGATGATGGAAGCGGTGCCGTCGACGTTGACCTTGCGGAAGAGGTCCTTTGCGATGGCGCTATCGCCCTGAGGCGCGGGGGAGGCGGTGTGGACGACGACGTCGGGCTTGACGTTCTCGAAGAGGGACTTGATCTTGTCGGTGTCGGTGATATCTGCCTCGTGGTAGTTGGCCTTGGGGTTGCGGTTGTTGGCGCAGCGAAGGTCTACCACGTCAACGGATGCGACGGCCCAGCGGTCGCCGGCCAGGAGCTGGTTGACGACGTGGTGGCCGAGGAAGCCGTTGCCGCCGACGACGAGGACTTTGCCCAGGTTGGGGGGCGTTGTGGGCTTCGCAGACATGTTTGCGGCGCTGCTGGTTTTTGGGTGGGAAAGAGAGAGGGTGGTAGTCGGGATGTTATCGCGGGCTGAGGTGGAGGAGTTGCAGGAGGCTCTGGGAAAGGAGAATTAATTGGTGTGGTCTGTTGTCTCTGGTCCCCTGAACTGAGGATTTCTGGGGTAATGGCACAGCACCAGATAGGCCAAGCTTCAGATTGTCTGATCCAATCCCGAAGTACGATGGATAGCTCCAGTACCGAGTACAGACCAACAAGGCAAAGCTATTGCTGAGTCGGCGGTACAGCTACTCTTGAGCTCTCCAGCACGCTAATTGCATTTAGGCTACAGGCCAGAATACCTACCTCGCAGAACACTCTCTGGCGCTGTTGTGGTGGGGCCGGTGAGGTGTGTGTGTCTGCTTCCGCATTCACCACGACATGAAGTGCAGGGGGGTATGCAACAAGGTGCCCCACCTTGAAGAGCACTGACTTCGAGGCGTGCGGGCGCGTTTCCCCAGACTTCACCTTCACTTTGAGCCTGACATGACTTATTCTTAGGCAAAGAGCTCTTGACTACATCCCTTCATTCTCCTCTACTCTTATCTTTGGAAAAGGGAATCGTCTCTTGTCACCTCATTTTTGGACCTTACAAAGGCACCTTCTATTATTATGCATCTTGGCGTTTGCTCCTGGAGATGACTGCTCTCTTCATTGTCGCAGCGAGGTTATTATGGAGGCACACGATAACGTTGAGATCTTAGTGCACGTCACAGCGCCGTGCAGAAATATCGATGATGTGCGCTACCGGGCCCTTGCACAGGCTTATCTCGATTTTGCTCCAGCAAGCCAGATCAATATTTTAAGCAAACCTGAAGCAGAGGATGAAGATGTCGAAGCTATTCCCAGCTCAGAGGCTGAGCCAGCAGCGTTGCCTGCTTGGTCAGATGCGCCAAACCTCAATAGCGAAACAACTCAACTGGCAACCTCATCACCACCGTATATACCACCACCGCCGCCGCCACCTCTATACCCCACAACTTTTGGATCATTCGAATCACAGCAGCTGTCCTTTAGGAGTGTCTTGGACAATAGGAATTCCCCGGGCCTCGGTCGACCACTTGACTATAGAGACATACCACCTTCGTCTCAACCTGTGGCCGATTCACAGCCGACGCAGGCTAGTTGGGTAGCTCCTCCCAGTGTCATTGGCGATTCTCAACCGTCATATGATATCAGTCTCGCTGAGTTCTCATCTCCAAGTCGACTCTTTGAACATTTGGCGGGACAGTTCGATAGTCAACTCGACGAGGACTCTCAGCAAGTATCCCCAGTGGCAAGCCAACAGCAGGCTCCGGCAGTATCCGAGACGGGGACACAAGCCATAGAGGAAGACTCGAATGGGGATGAAGACGATGGTCAGGTCGTTCTCGTAACGTCTAGTAACTCTCTGGCAGTCAAGAGCAATACGACTCCAGTTTCGGCGGCCTCTTCCATACCCGCAGAGGCTATAATTCTGAATACGCCGTTCCCCGTCCTGAAGCGACCGCCTCTAGCCAGCTCTCCCTTCGAGCAGATGATACAGGACACGCCTTGTCAACCGTCTCGGAAGAGAGCAGCACCGTCGTTGCCAAATCGAGCCGGCTCCGAGCCCCCACTCCCATCGAAACGGCACAAACGGTCAGCGCCCATCTCAGAATCGAGGTCGGTCATCACGAGGAGCTCCTCAGATGTAGGCCCGGGTCCTAGCGAACTCTTCCGGCCTCTACGGCCTCCTAATGAGAGGCACTTGAGCTACCTCTCGCGTCTCGAAATCCACCCCGTCGGTCCCCCAGTTGGCACCAGTGAATTGACGCCAGATGATCTCCTGACGCCCAAGCTGAAGGAGCTAGCCCGCCAACTCAAAATTTCGAAGCGCTTCGCCCCGGTAGAACAGACGAGGGAACTACGTCCCTTTGAGCGAGGTCACTGGCAGCTCGACTGGACGGGCTGGCGACCGAGCCTGCGCGAGCGAGCCTGGCACTTTCTGACGGATTACATCCTCGAAGGCTTCGCCGGATGGGGCGTCTGGTGCAAACGCGCAGAGGACTGGTCCTGGATACGCGTGTACTGCTGGGGCCATATCGTGGGCCACATCTATCTGGCCCTGTACCTGGCGAGTGAGCGGGCGCTGAAGAAGGATGCGGCGAGGTGGCTGGACGGGGCGGGCGAGGTTATCGTCATCACCAATGGCCACGAGAACTCCGAGTCTGGGGAGAGCGTGGAGGGTGATCCCGATGATGGACTGTAGTAGATTAGGAGAAAGGCATGGCGGGCAGCTTTTATTTTTGGCTTTTCTTGTTTTCCTTGGCTAAGCGAGGCGTTTGCATAAGGCAAGGGGTTCTGCATGGCGGTATTGCTTGACAAGTTTGGATACGGCGCAAACAACCTGGTTAGCATAGAAACAAACAGTAGGGGGGGCTCCTGCAAAATATGATATAGGGAGCAAATTGAACATTTCGTTCTGGTCGCGAAACCTCTCTCTGACATTTGGTATCTGAAATACAGCTATGGAACATCGACCCGATCCCTCCAGCAATTCCTACTCTGTACAGAATAAGGAAAACCAGTAAGCAAACCCATCTCTTCCTGACTTCCTCCTCCTCGTACACGTTTCATCGCTCTGCTGAACTCGCTCAGGCACATCCTACTTTTTGACACTCGACGCCGCGGGGGAATTCATTTTCTCAAGGGGGGAAAAAGAAAGGGACTATTGTTCAGGCTTGTGGCATGAACTGAGTGAATCTCCTTACTCGGGGGAAGGGCTACGCTTGGCAACATGGCCCAAGATCTCCAGCGACTCGCGCTCCCACCGGTCAGAGTCCGCCTTGGCAAGCTCCTCGTACGCAACCTTCTCGGGCGGGGAGAGCTGCTTCCACTCGCTGCTAACGGCTGTCAGGGCCTCCCTCGCCTTCCCTTCGCCAAAGGAGTAGTCGCCGCTGGCAAAACGCGCCTTGACAAAGAGCGCGTAGGCGTTGTGAGGCCTCTTGGGGATACGTTCGTCGCGGATGGTGCGCGGGTTTTGCTTGCCGCTGATGTTGCGGAGCCTCGCGCGGGCGCGGTTGGCCTCGACCACAGCCGTCGGCTGAAGCGTCTCAACCCACGACTTGTAGGCCGCGTTGTTGGTCAGCTTGTTCGCTTCGACAGTCTCTTCGAGACGCTATCATGCCAGATTTGTCAGTATCTTGGGTAACCATCAAGGACGTGAGGAGCTTCTGTCGTAGCTCCACCGGGGGTGAGCAGGACAGAGAGTCGGTCCTTACCTGGGCGTCATATGAGGACAGATTCTTGAAAGACTCGGCAAAGCCCTTGATCCGGTCGCTCAGGGGCAAGTCTGAGTTCGGCTCCGCAGCAAACTGTTGCGTACTGTACACTAGCCATGCGTTCGTCGGGAGCTTCTTCGGCTCCTCCAGCAGTGCCGCCTTCTTCCACTCCCGCACCTTGAGCTTCTGCTGCTGCTCGGGTGTGAGCACCTTCTTAACCCGCTTCTTGGGCGCAGCCTTCTTCACGGCAACCTTCTTCTTCGCCTTGGGCTTCTTAGCGGCGGGCTTCTTGGCCTTGGTGGCGGACTCCGTTTTGGCGGCCGTGGTCTTCTTTGCCTTGGTCGTGGTTGTCGGCGCCTTGGTGGCGGGCATGCGCGCCCATTGCGAGGTCGAGAAGCCGCGGCAAGACGCTGCGCGCGCGACGGCGAGCTGGGTTCGCGGGACTGCCAATGGGGCGGTGCGGAGGAGCAGGCGCTGGGCGGCGGCGCGGCCGATTGCTGTCAACATGTTGTGAACTTTTGAGTGGGCTGAGCCGGCGGTGATTTCGGTGAGCCGGGAGATGTTTTGGTGGTGGTGGTGTTTGCGATAGGGCAATCCGGAAGGGACAGGATAGAGCGAATCGAGTGCGAGCGGTATTGAGGTCAGGATCAGGCCAATCGTGGGAGTCGGGGGTGTCGGGGGGTGTGTTTTCGACACCACAATTGCCGTCCGTGGTGTTGACGGAATGACGAGGGACTGTGAGCAATGCGACTGAACTTGGTCGACCTCCTTGTTTGTTTGACCATCCACCCCTGAAGCTCCAATGTACCGGATACCCGAAACTCGCGGTTAAATGCTGCAAAACAGAGTATCGAGTACTTCACTTCCAATCACCCACCACAGCAGCTCCAAGCTGACCATTTTTGGCAAGCCCACCCCAAACTTGCGGCCCCGTTTGTCAGGCATCAGAGCCTTGACGCAGTAGCTCTAGCGGCGAAGGGAACAGTAGCAGCAGCAACTGGCCTGTCAGTCAGCCAGCCAGCCGGCCTGCAGAGGCACCCACGGGACGCGAAGCTCACCCCGGACAAGCTTCAATCAACTTCACATACCAAACCATCTCCAAACCCACCCACGAACTCGCAACAACGACGAAGCCAATCCTCCTTCCGACCCCCTTTCCCATCATTTCGACCGTCAGATCACACAGTAATCAGCAATCATGGATCACAGACCGCAAGCTTGGGGCCGTGTATGCAATCCCTAGTCCCCTCCCCCTCCCCTCCTTCCCGGTAACCTCAGCCTCGCATCGTGGACTAACAAGCCGGAACCCCTCCTCCTAGCCTAGAGACGATGTCTACGGAGCCTACGATGGCTCGTACATGAACACCAACGGCCCCAACCAAGCGACACAGGCCCCCATTGTCACGGGTACATCAGTCATCGCCATCAAGTTCAGCGAAGGTGTCGTCATCGCCGCCGACAACTTGGGTACGTCTTTGTCTTCGCTCGCCCTCCAATGCCGTCCTGTGCTATCACCATACTTTTCGAACCACAAAAGCTAATAAATCGTCTCTCATAGCATCCTACGGCTCCCTCGCCCGTTTCACCGATGTCAAACGTCTCCGCACTTTCGCCAACTCCACCGTCGTGGGCTTCGGCGGCGACGTCTCCGACATGCAATACCTCGACCGCCACCTCTCAGGCCTCGACATTGAGGAGTCCTACGACCTGGCCAACGATGCCCCCGCCCGGCTCAACGCCGCGAACCTCCACAAGTACCTCTCCAAGCTCCTCTACAAGCGCCGCTCCGACTTCGACCCCCTCTGGAACCACCTTCTCGTCGCCGGCCTCGACGACAACAACAAGCCCTTCCTCGCCGCCGCCGATCTGCTCGGCACCACCTTCACCTCTCCCTCCCTGGCAACGGGTTTCGGCTCAGCCCTCGCCCAACCCATCATGCGTCGCTACGCCCCCGACGAGGAGACCGCCGCCAAGCTCTCCAAGGAGCAGGCCGTCGACGTGATCAAGGAGTGTATGAAGGTTCTCTTCTACCGTGACGCTCGCAGCTCGGATTCCTACTCGATTGCTGTAGTGACCAAGGATGGTGTCGACTTGAAGGAGAGTGAGAAGCTTGAGAAGCAAAGCTGGAAGTTTGCGGAACGGATTCGCGGCTACGGCACGCAGGTCAACTAAAGGGGGGGATACAAGGATTTATGGGAATTAGAGAGACAAGCAGTGCCACAGAGGGTGGAAATGAAATGACAATGACTGGTTATTCGGCATAACCTCTGGCGATCCCTTGGGTGGGAATACTCATGAGACTCAGGTAGTAGAAGAGAAGCACAAGCCCTCAACCCAGGGCTTATCGGCATCACGATGAGATCAGGCGTGTGCGAGCAAGCATGTGTAACACCAAATGAAATAGACAATATTGTTCTCATTGCTTCAGGTTGCCTGGCTACGGCATTTAACCTCAAAAAAGATACGCTCCTTTATCTTGACCGGCCCAAATCTACCATGCTGGACCATTCCCTCATTTTCACAGTACCCAGTAATACATCAGAGGGCTCCAAAGTTGCCATCGCCTTTTTGTAGCCCGCTGTGACATCAAAAGCATCAAGGGCTTATCCTCCCTTTTGGCAACCCAACTCCAGTTGGGCGAATCACCCGACAATAAACCAAACTTCACCCAGGCTTTATGAGCAGTTTACTCGACAGTGACAGACTTGGCCAGGTTACGAGGGAAATCAACGTTGAGTCCCTCCATAACAGCCAGCCAGTAGGCGATCAACTGCAGGGGAACGACATTGAGGATACCCTGGAGGGCGTCGACCGTCTTGGGGATCTCAATCTTCTCGGCCTCGCTGGTCTTGAACTCCTCGTCACCAGGGTTGCAGATGACAATGGGCTTTCCGCTGCGAGCAATGACTATTCAATTTGTTAGCAAATGGTAAATATTGATAGTGGCTAATCTTCCTAGACTTACCTTGCTGGTAGGCGTTGAGCGACTTCGTGAAGAGGTTGTCACGAGTAAGAATCATGATGATGGGCAGATTCTCATCAACGAGAGCAAGAACACCGTGCTTCAGCTCACCAGACATGACGGCCTCGCAGTGAAGGTAGGAGATTTCCTTGATCTTCAGAGCACCCTCAAGGGCGGTAGAGAACTGGGCACCACGACCGAGCAACAGAAGGGACTTCTGGTTCTGGAAGGTCTTGGAGCAGAGCTCCTTGATAGACTGGTCTTGGGTGAGGATATCCTTGATCTGCTCAGGAATCTTGGCGAGACCCTCCATGATCTCCTCGCGGCGCTTCTGCTTGGATGCACGGTCCTCACTAAGGGAGAGTGCGAACATGACCATGGCAATGAACTGGGAGGTGTAGGCCTTGGTGGAGGCAACACCAATTTCGGGACCGGCGTTGACGTGAACACCGCAGTGGGTGAGCAGAGAGATGGAGGAACCGACGACGTTGACAATACCGACGGTCAGGGCACCGCGCTCCAAGCAGTAGCGGAGAGCCATGAGAGAGTCGGCAGTCTCACCAGACTGGGAGACGAAGACGCAAGTGTCGTCACGGAAGACGGGCGCCTGTCTGTCGAGGAAGTCGGATGCCAGCTCAACCGCGATGGGGATCTCGGCCAGCTCTTCAAACACACCACGAACGGCCATGCATGAGTGGTAACTAGTACCGCACGCAATGAAGATGATTCTGCGGCAGCGGCGGATGGTAGAAATGTAAGAGCGGAGACCACCAAGGGTGACGGTCTTGTTGGCAGCATCGAGACGACCTCTCATGGTGTTGACGACGGACTCGGGCTGCTCGAAAATCTCCTTCTGCATGAAGTGATCGAACTTGCCCTTCATGATCTCTTGAAGCTCAAGCTCCAGGGTCTGGATGGTGCGCACATTGGAGCTGCCGTCCGCCTTCTTAAGACGGTGAATGTTCAGCGAACCCTCGTGAATGTGGGCAATATCGTCATCCTCAAGGTACATGACCTTCTTGGTGTGCTCGACGATGGCAGAGGGGTCAGAGGAGAGGAAGAACTCGGTGGGCATGGGCATGCCGTCGTCGGTCATGAAGGCGCGCGACTGCGAGCGGTGCAGCAGCGACTTGTCGGGGGCACCCAGCAGAGTGTTGGGGTTCAAGAAGTTGTCCTGCTGCTTCTTGAGGGCAACGTTCTGGGAGGCAGCCTCGGCGGAGAGGGCGCCCTCCTCGGAGTACTCGACATCGACGAAGTCGACCTTCATGCGCTTCTGAGTCTTGACACCGATGACAAGGGGAGAACCCTTGCGGGCAGCGATGACCTCATGAGGGTAGTGAACGGACTTGATCAAAAGTCCGTAGGCGCCCTCGAGCTCGTTGATGACAGCCTTGGCGAGGTCGGTGAAGCCAATATCGGGGTGCTGGTCGTACAGGTACTTGGCGAGCTTAGCAATACACTCGGTGTCGGTTTCGGTCTCGAACTTGAAGCCCTTGGCGCTCAAGAGGGTCTTGAGCTCCTTGTAGTTGGTGATGATACCATTGTGGACGACGGTGAACTCCCAGGTAGGATCAGATCTAGCAGGTGGGAAGGCTTGTTAGCTACTTGGTGTTTTTGGTAACAGGGAAACATTGAAGGGAAAGTTTGCTGTTGTTTTTGCGGGTGTGCAGACGTACCTGTGGGGATGGCAGTTCAGACGGGACGGGGGACCGTGGGTAGCCCAGCGAGTGTGGGCAATACCGGCGTGTGAATCGAAGTACTTGGTCTCGTCGACCTTGGACTCGGCGATAAGCTCCTTGAGCTTGGCGACCTTGCCAACCTCCTTGAAGGCGAAGACCTCGTTCTTCTTGTCACCGTCGACAGCAAGACCGGCCGAGTCGTATCCACGGTACTCGAGGCGGGAGAGACCTGTGGGAAGCAGTGGCCCGTTAGTAAAACAGCTCTCAAGATAAGGTGGAGCTAGGTGGCTCCAGTTGGAAGTATTCAGGAGGAGGCGGTGTACTCACCGTTCACCAGAGTGTCGAGGATGAACTTGCGGTCCTTCTCCACAAGGTAGTTGACGTAGCCGAAAATGCCACTATCGGGAGAGAAGTGCACGTCAGCTTACTGCTTACTATGATGCCAATTGCCTTTGTGGCTGTCGGTGCCCCGACCCCTTTTTCAGCTGGCAGAAGCTGGATGGAGGGGAAGGGGAGGATGCCGGCAAGTTTTTAGGAGAGCGGGGAGCGGAATTGGGGGGAGACATACCACATGTTGATTAAACGCAATCGAAGACCCTGACAAAAAACGTAAAAGACCAATTAACAGAAAGAGGCGGGGACTCGGTGGGTAGAGGCGGCGGCGATGGGTATCAAGAAGAGCGAGAGAGATGAATAGTTGGATCGAGAGAGAATGAGTAGAGCAAAGCAAGATGCAGGAGGCGGGAGCTGAGCAGCTTTATGTGCAGCTGGTTCAACTGGCTGGAGAGCAATGGGAGGGGAGTGTATTGTGTACGTGGAGAGAATACGCAGTAGCGCCTAGAGGCGTGGAGGGGGGCGGTGGGCGGGGTGTGGCAGGGGCGTGCTCGTATTGAGGATGACAGAGAGGGCGCGGCGCGGCACGGGTTGAGGGTGAGGTGAGGGCGAGGACGAAAGATGACGGGGGATGGGATTGGTAGGTGGGCAGGGCCAGGTACGTGGTATCCGTTCTTGTTATGGACGATGATGACTTGCTATTGCCCAGAGCAAGCCCAGGGGAGGAAACAAGGCTGTAGAGACAAGCGGGCAATGAGTTGCTGGAGCGTTGTTCTTGGTGTACTAACTGTTTACACGATGTTTGGTAGGCAATGCATCCATCACAGGATAGCAAGCCAGTGAGTATAATTCTCTTGATTCATCATTCATCAGCATGAGACGTCAATCTCTGAGAACAGTGAATGAGTTGAGATGCTTTGGAGGGCGGCTATGTTTGTTCATTGAGTTGTCTTGCCAGGCCTTGCCGGTGGGAGTTGACAGGAAAGCAGCATCTCATTGTCGTTTGCGTTTGCTAGATAGATCTCATGTCTAAGTCATTGATTTGAGTGCCTTGTGTTCAGAAGACTCATCGCTTGGTTTACAAATGATGGTGGGTGGTTCTTGAGTCACTGGCTTGAAGGAGGTGTCTAACACTTTCGCAGCTGGGATGGCATATGTCAGGACTCGGAGCAGACAGGCGCTAGGGCAACGGAATGGAGAATGAATCTAGATTTCGACGGAGCAGGAATACCTGCTCTGCGCAGAGTGCCAAATACCTATCCGCACCGGTATCCGTAGTTCCGTACTGTAAGTTCTTTGCAGTTCAATGTCTGGGGCGACCCGGTCAGAGTTGGGAAAGACAGACGTGCCCAGCCAGTGGAAGAGCCGCGAATGCAGCGAGTGAGGGGCAGGCAGGTTTCTGGAGGGCCCCCACCTCACCGGCAACAGCAAAGGAGCTGCAGTTCCTGGCACCACTTGCCTGCAGCAAAACACATCGCGATATTCCTTGGAACCTTGACTTGACCACACATCTCGAAGAACATTTCTAGCCCCATCCCGGCGAAATCCGTTGTGTGCCTGAGCAAACTGCAGACAAGGCAGAATACAGCCCGATGTCTGACATGTTGTCTGTGCTAGACCGTTGACTGGTCCGTCTTTTTTTTCTTTTCCATCCCACCTCACACAAATGGATACAGAGACAGAGTCGAGAATATCTGTATCCGTACGGTACCTGGACGCGGCGGCAGGCGCAGTGCAGGAATGCCACCCACCGCTTCCATCCCTCAACCTCCTCCAGGCTCCGTTGGCTCCTCCTCCTCCTCCTCCTCCTCCTCCTCAAGGTCCCCCCTCCTTTCGTGGACCGTGGCGCCATTCCCTGGCTGAGCCATTCGGCTGCTACACTAGCTCCAGCGATCGCCCTCGGTACGTACCGCAATAACATCGTGGGCTTTAGAAGAGACTTGCTTCTTCATTTCAACAGCTGTTACGGATACAGTACGACCAATGTTTGGTCGAATGGTTTATAACCGTACCTTAGCTAGCACTTACTTGCAAGTAAGGTACCAAATGCTGGATGACTAAGGTACCATACGGGTTCGCCTTTCTCCTCGCTTGAAGAATTCTACAGACAACCAGCCAGCACTTGAATGCGATTTGGCACCAATCTGGCTTCGATTCCGCCCTCGCCGCTTCCATTCCAGAACTAGCCGCTAGGAGGGCACGACTGTCTGCAAGCTGCATTTGCAACGCTAAAGCTTTCCGAAATGGTCAGCTTGTGATGAAACCCGCACCAAGCAGGCACCGAGTTAGGAAACCTGCTGCCACCAATTCATTCAACGCCTCACCCGCCTTGCCATCAACACACCTCTTTTTTTTTCTTTTTCACAGCCCGTACCTTTTTACTACCCAGGTAGGTAGGTATTATTGCATCTTTCCTATGAGTTGGCTACGGGAACTTGCCTTGACCCGAGCTCCCCCACTCGGACGCACACATGGCAGGTACGGTGTACCTATCCGAGCACGCGCCTTCTGGAGTGCTGATCCCATATGCCCCCCAACCCCATCCTCACACCCGTCACCAACACCAACACCAAGATCTGATCAAGTGTCCGTGCCGCCTTACCCCAACAACATCTTGTCATTAATCGGGAAACACAAAAGGCACAATTGTACCAAACGCATTAAAGCTACGCGTAATGTGGAAAGCAACACACTGGCAGTACACAAAAACCAAACATGACAACTCGTCAGTTGTCCAACGTCCGCGATACGGTCCGTCCACCCGATTTGTCGGTTCGATTCTTTCTTGGGTGTTGCATCAAAGACATCCCCTATCCTCGGGCATTGGGCATTGGTGTGGACGGCTACCCGCGTTCGTCATTCTCGGTCCTACCCTCCAACGCTTTTTCGAGGGTTCCATCACCGACATCATCGCTTTTTCGACCCCTTCTTTTCGTATTACCTGGCCCCGACGTGCCCCGGTCCCCAATCATCTGGGTGCGGACACCCCTTGGTTGTCAAGCGCTAGAAAGAATCCAGCGGGGATCGTCGGCAATGTGACACCAAGCGACAAGAATTCCCAAGCTCGGGTCCCCTGGTGTCCAACTCTTGCTGCTTGGCTCCGTTGCTGGTTGCACCCATGAAGCATGGAGGGGCCATACAGGCGAAGGAGTGGGGCTTAGGTACGAAGAGAAGGGAAAGAAAAAAACAGAGAAGAGAAGACAACGCGCTAAGAAAAGATACAGCCTCAATTGCCATCGTGAGAACGGGCCCCCCAAAAGGGGCGGCTCGTCATCCACTCCGTATAAGAGTCGCCAAAAATAACAACCCGCACCGAGGAGAGAACCCTGCTAGACCGGCTTCTCCTGCAAATCACCATCTGGCATCTTTTCAATGCCACCGCCCATCTCGCCTCCCCAGCTTGACCCAGATCTCGTTGAATCGGCCGCGAGTCCACCCAGCCGAGGCAAACGCTCCCTGAACCAAGCCAGGCAACGTTGAGCGCGCCTGTTTAGTATCATACAGCCGCTCGTTGCGCGCTACCCAGATCATTTGATATCGAGTTCGTGATACACACGGTACCTTATACCACGTTCCACGGTCCCTGGAATCAGCAAAAAGACCGAATGGAAAGCCGGTACGGCCCACACGGAGACGATGCATCGCACAACTGTACAAAGTACATTGCCATGGCTCCAGTAGGTACTGGTCAATCCTATGAACAACGACACTACCTACACCCATCAAGCCAGATCCAAACAAAGTCCGACACCTCATGCGTCGATGCGTTCATATCATTTGACGGCCGTCGGGGTACTCGAGACGCTGCCTGCAGAGCATGCCCCGGTTGCAGTCGCTCATCTCCAGTCTCACGGCAATCTTCCCATCGAAAACATGTGGCTGACCTTTGTCTCTATTCGTTGCCGTGCGAGATCACCCAGTAGAGGTGGTCTCAGCTAGAGACCCGCCATCCGCATGCAGCAGCTTCAACAGCCTCCTTTGCACGGCATGGCGGATTCGTCAAATCACAGATTCAGGACCAGACCTTCGATCCTCCCACGCTTACAATGTGCAACCTCATTCCCTACCCGTTGTCTCGTAAGACAAGATTGTAAGCATGTGCTTCCGTCGTCTGCCTGCAGTGTAAGCTGCTAGCGAAGGAACAGAAAGATCATGTAAGACTCGAGCAAAAAGCACGCTGTAGCTTCGCTTACACCAAACGATGTCGAGGACATCCCTAAATCCACCCCCTGAGCTATCTGTGGCTTGCACCACAAGGTGTACACCCCCCGTTCCTTTCCCCCAGCCCTACGCTTACTCCGGGTCTGCTGTAGACTCAAGGGCCCGTGTCGAACTCGACATTGCTCTAACACGGCATACTCGCCGTGCACCAAGATTGATAGGTAGGCATAGGATGGCGTTAACAGCGTCCTGCCAGCGGGTTAGTATACAAGTATGGACACGCTACTTGTTTGTTGGGCAATTCATTGAGATGCTGCTCTGGCACGTGGCGCCGGGTCATATCCCGTACCCAGCCCCCCCAGCTCAGTCGAGGCTGTGCATTATCAATAGCTTCAAAAATGGAGCCTCACAGCTACGGGCTACCCTAGGCTCGGATCCCCCAAAAATATCTACCAGGGAACATTTGAAGGGCGCAGAGATAAGGAAACTCACCATGGCCATGCATTCTTCATGATCAAAACGCCAAAGCTCTTCGTATTGCTCAAGTCGCGTGGGCATTGAACGCAGGCCGATCAGACGGGTTAATGTACATCCGCACAACGTCGTCGTCAATGATGGGCACATCTGTTGTGCATGCGCATGTTCATCTTTGGGATCCCGTAGCTGCTTCTATTCCACGCCATACGTCTCTATGATCCCGTTGCAAACAACCCCAAACCTGGACTCGGGTATTGTACACTGTTTAACACATTAAAAGACCCTCTCAACGACTGAGACCCGACGATGCTCGCTCCAGCCGCCCCTTTTGATGTCTTTCCTTTGCTCCTCCGCGCCTCATCCCGTGAAACATCATGTCGCTTCCTCCCTGCTTTACAGCTTCTGGTACTCGAGCTTGCCTTCCAGCTTCTTCGATTCGGCGACCTTGCGTACTGCCTTGTTGAAGTCGTCCTGGTTGATTGCGTCGCGGTAGTCCTTGATGGCAAACAGGCCACTGAGCATTTCTAGTTAGCTTGCGTGTTCAAGGTATTGCCAGGATGCGCCGTCACTTACGCTTCTGTCACGACGTTTCTCAAATCCGCACCATTGAGACCGTCGCTCATCTTCACCACGCTTTCGAAATCAATCTCACCCTCCGTCACTACGCCCTGCGCATGAATCTTGAGAATCTCCAAACGTCCAACCTCGTTCGGCAGGGCAATCTCAATCTTGCGGTCGAGACGTCCGGCACGGAGCAGCGCGGGGTCGAGGGTATCGGGTCTGTTCGTCGCCATGATGATCTTGGTCTTGCCGAGGTAGTCGAAACCGTCCAGCTGGTTGAGAAGCTCCATCAACGTTCTCTGGATCTCACGATCCGCACTGGTTCCCTCAGAGAATCTGCGTCCACCGATGGCGTCGATCTCGTCCATGAAGATGATGCAGGGCTCGTGCTCCTTGGCGTAGCCGAACATCTCGCGAATCAAGCGGGCAGATTCTCCGATGTACTTGTCGACGATTGCTGAAGAAACGACTGTTTGACCCCGTTAGCACGCTTCCTTTCATCGTCTTCCACCACAACCAACGGACTAGCACCTACCCTTGAGGAAGTTGGTCTCGAGACTGCTTGCCACAGCACGTGCAAGCAACGTCTTTCCGGTACCAGGAGGTCCGTAAAGCAGAACACCCTTGGGCGGCTTGATGCCCACACGCAGGAAGAGCTCAGGGTTCTTGAGCGGCAGCTCAATGACCTCACGGAGCTCGCGAATCTGGTCGTTCAGTCCACCGATACCGGCGAAGCTGACTTGACCGGGGTCTTCCAGTGACATGTTGTAGACGAGAGGGTCGACTTCTCGGGGAAGCATACGCATGATCGTGAGTGTCGTCATATCGAGAGCCACGCGCGTGCCTTGCTTGAGCTTGATCTTGTCGACCTTTGATCTGCATCCGACGACATATCTGGGACCGGAGGAAGCCTTTACGATAACTATTCACGGACAACAACATTGATTAGCAAAGGTTGCATGTTAACCAGCCGCAGTGATTTGGGCCGTAGTCATCATAGGTAGTGGTGGCGGGGCGGGGACGGTATCCAGCGGAGGCGGAAAGCGGGATGGGGATGCCTTCACTTACATCTTTCGTCATCGAGCTGCTTCAAGACCTCGCCGATAATCTGACCGACACTCTGCAACGCCTTAATGTTGTCTTCGGTTCTGTCAAACTCCCTCTGCAAGTCCTTGATCTCGAGCCGGAGGGACTTGAGCTTAGCTTCCCACTCCCGGGATTCGAGCAGCTTGGCCCGGTACGAGTCGAGAGCCTTCTGGCGTTCGTCGTCGGAAGACATCTCTGGTTGTGGGAAGTTGAAAAGAAAAGGGCTACTGCCTTGATCTTGTCGAGGGAATGGAATGGCTGCGGTTCGGAAGGGGGTGGTGTGGTGGTGAGGGATCGCGTTCGGGTTTCGAGTTTCGAAGGTTGGGTCGGTTGGTGGGTGGGAATGGGTAAGGTAGCTCGTGTGGTAATCAGATCGTTGTTTTCGGAGGTTGTGGTGTCGACGTACCTCCCACTGCAGCCTTCTGCCTCAAAGGCAAGCACGGCTCAGCTCCGACTAGCGCCCTATCCCTGTGGCCACCGAAGCTCTGCCGCTGTGCTCTGATTGGCTTGCATTTCGGGACCGGGAAATACCAGCTCCCGCCCAGTCAGCGCCCACCACCACCTCCTTCCATCCCCAAGGAAGATGTCAGCTTCACCTTGAAGTGCCCGCTGAGCATCAATAGGACGTATCACCGAAGCTCACTTCATTGTGAGCTTACAATTGTGCTCTTGCAGTTGTGGAAACTCGGAGGGTCTTGAGGCTTTCATAGCTCAATGGTTGTCCGACTATGATGGAGGCAATCACTTCAGTAGGCACTATCAATACGGGATAACTGTTTCTTATGAAGTGCACGTTGATGGCTGGTCAACACTCTCTTTTAAGGAGAAGTCCACTAAAGGTCTTTCACATCACAACAATCGGATATCAAGTAGCCAGGCATCGAGGCAGGCCAAGAAGCGCAGTGGTCGTGGGTCAATATCAATTAGGAGGGGTAAGCCTCCAGCAAAGTTATGTACTAAGAATGGTAAGAAACAACTGCCCAACGCCCGGATGTCCTGTCTCGCGTCCGTTGATGGACCATCAATTTTCCACCATTCAATCTCCTAATTCCCACAATCTAGATGGTATTGCGAGATAACATGCAGACTGTCGAGTGCGGGTGTGCAGTGCATAGATTCAAAGCCTCCCGGGGGATAAATGCAACAAATGAAAACCAAATTCCACCACAGAACTCCAGGAAAGACGGGTATTTTGGGTGCGTAAATCATAACGACAGCAGCCTAGGGTAAGCAAATGCTCAACCTAGAAGTTCAGAAGTGATCTCCTCGCGGACCTTTCGGCTCCAATCCATGATGGCCTTCTCAAAGTTGACCCAGACTTCGGGAGAGTTGTTGTAGACAATGCCCAAAGCATTAACCTTGAGTAGGACCTCCCAGCGCAGCTCTGCTGCTTTGGCCCAGTATCTGATATTGTCTGCAGACCGATACGGCTTGTCTGTGTCGGTATGGAATGTGGTAATCAAGCCAAATCGCCGTTTTGACCTCTTCACCGCCGCATTGTGCAATTCAATTAGGTGAATGCCGTTCTGCAAACTGGTGAGGAAAGGCGTCGGGCACTCGCTTGCGTGGGCTGAAGGCGTGTAGTCTGGAAGCGGGTCGGCCTGAGGGACGAGTGAGGCCATAAAGGCCAATTCTCTCTCCACTTCTTTGCCAGTCCAGTCGCCCTGCAGCCACGTCCAGGAGCTTCGCTCCGCCTTTTCTGCTTCAATCATTTCTTCTTCAATCTTCAACATGTTAAAAAGCCCGGTGATCCAGGATTCGAGGATTCGCAGCTCCTCGTTCTTCATTCCACCTGACCATTGTCGGGTTGCCATTTGCTTCAAGGTCTCCATGACAGAGAGCAGCTCTGTGCGAATTTCCTTCTCAGACTTGATGGCGTCCAGTCGCTCGGGGACTTCATGCGCCGTGTAGTAGTTCCTCGCAGCCCGAATAGCCAGCGTCATGACATCGAGAATGTGCATACCCTGAACCTCGTGCCAGCCTGTAGACGTCTTCTTGGGGGGCTCGCTTTGTCCTCTCGCGGGAATCTCGGGTAGTTCCGGCACGGGGCTACTATCCCTATGCTTTTTGGCGTGTCTCAAGGCCTGAGCCGCCTTCTCGAGAGATCCTGTCAAGTCCGCCTTGAGCTCCTCAATTGTCGGAGGCCTCGGTACTGGCTTATTCCTGTGAATGTATGTGCTCGCAGTCGGAGGCAGAACATCTGGGTCCTCTTCGAAATCATCAGAATAGTAGTGGTGGTCATCAGTAGGCGATTCCACCATCGGTCCTGCGCCAAAAGGCTGAGAGCCAAGTTCTGGGCTGTTTCCCTGTGAATCAACGATCCCTGGCGAATTCGAGCTTGAGCTGCTAACAGACGAGAGGTCTAGTCCTCCTTTGGCCTTGTTCTTTCTCGCCAACTGAGCGCCCTTGCCATCGAGAAGACCGGTTCGCGCAAAGTAGTACTGCAGGTGGGCAATGCTTCCCAAACTCAGCACGCTCTCTCTATGGCGAGCACTCGCAGCGAAGTCGGTACCCTGCGGTCGAACAAATCCTCGGCGGCGACTGGAAGAGCGGCCAACCTCCACGCTGCTGCAAGTGGACTGTCGGGACGATGCGAAGCTGACATCGGAGCGGCGGCTGTAGTTCCCAGAGGACTGTCTAGAGTATGTGCTGCCTCGGAAGCTTCCCAGAGATTCGCGGGAGTTGCCCTCGGTGGCGGATCCGTGGGAGACGGATGAGGCAGTCGAGACGCAGCGAGACAGCTCGGGACAAGCGCCGATAGCTGGGGTCGGAGAAGCGTCTGATGATGGGGAGTCGCACCGGAACGACGGCGTCTCTTCGTTTGCTGTAGCCATTATTTCGGTTATGCTGAGAAAGTCGAATGCTCTGAAGCTCGAGAGCTTGGTTGTAGTTGGTATAAGCTCTGGGGTATGTACGTGATATCGTGGATGGTACGGTAGTGGTCGAGCAGAGGGTGTTGACGTCTCGTCTCAGCTAGGTATCGGCGGTGGTCTCAAGCTATGCGCTAGGCAACGTGAGGGGGTGCGATGACCAATGTGGCAACGGGTTAAGGTATGTACAGATCGGAGAGGTCTATTTGCAAATACAATAGTCGTGTGAATGAAACTGGGTGCACAGCAGCGTCCAGAAGGTCGGCAAGCAAGAAGGTTGACACTGGCGAACAAACGCGTGCTGGTGGTTCGAGAGACGTACGGCGAATTATTCGCTTAGGTGAAAGCCAAAAAAGAATGAAGCGAGCGAGTGGTGATTAACAGACGGTCCCCAGAATGGACAAAGCGGACGGAGAAAGTTTCTTGGACTAATAACCCCGGACGGTAAACACTGGCTAGGCAGGGTAGGTTGGCAACGGTAGGGCAAAAGAAAGCTAGGTCTCGTCTCTTCAAGGCTCGTCGTGGGCTAAGAACGGTCGAGGGTAAGGTGTACCTGCGTGCCTGCGAGCTGTGACAAGACGCGACTCTCCGGTGTCAGGGGTCTGTGTTGGGCTTGGCCACAGCGTAAGGTAAGTGAAAGAAAGAGTCCGGTGCGGTGTGTGACGGGAGTGTGTGTGTACCAGTGGTCGCCTGGTGGTCTCTGGCACCAAGATCCTCGTCCCCGGTTGCGTCAGTGGAGATGTGTGGAAAGGCCGAGGGCGAATCTCTGACGAGGGAAAGTCTCCAGCGGGCAAATTGGGGGTCCAATCGAGTGGCTCGCGACTTGCCAGGAAGGGACGGTTTAAATTGAACTTCGCGTCGTCTCCGAAGGTGGGGTGCTTGCTGCGTGCAAAGGAAAGGAGAGGGGAAGGTGGGACGTAGGACGCGGGACACGGGACCTGGGAGCTTGGCCTTGCTGCTTCAAGTTTGAGCCTGGAGGGCTGGAGCTGGAGGGATGCGATGGAACGCGTGAAACGGAAGCCGTTATGTTCGATGATGTGGTTGCTTTTTCGAAAATCGAAGATATATTTGCCAAACGGTCGGTTGGTTAGCTGGATGTTCTTCAGTTCAAAAAGAAATTAAGCACCTCAGAAAGGTACGAGCGAATGGGGTAGGTATTGCAAAGAACAACGGAACAAGTTGGATTCCACAACTGGACCTGAAGGTGAGTAGCTAGCGTAGGTACCCGAAACTTGAAAGAACCATGGTATTACCAGCAGAAGTTCATGTGTTCATCACCAAGGCAGAGGGGATCGCCGTCTACTTATTCCGCCACAAACTTATCAGGATGCGCTAAGACCCAAGGAAATGATCGCCGAATCTCGACCAGATATTCTTAAAGGAGACTCGTACCCATCGACTCAGCAACGCGCAGATGGCCAAGCTGCGTCAAGATGTTCAGAACGAGCAGTTCAAGACTTGATCCTACCTAGACGGCAAAGTTAGGTATGATAATCATCAGCCCTCCTGCATCCCAAGCTGTCGTTGAGCTCATGCTCACCCCCCTCCACCTCGTTGCAAGTCGGATTCCCGTGGTGATGACATTGTCAGGGGCTCAAATCTTAAACAATGTCCAGCTGGCAGCAGCTCGTCCGGCCAACAAAGCACGAGTGGGCAATTTCATTCCGCCAAAAGCCTCCGTGTTTCCCGACATCGAGATGAGCCAGACCAACAAACCCCCCTCCTTCTTCGTCAATCCCAGACACGGGCTCCCACCCGCATCACTGCCAACTTCCACACTGGTTGATCAGCGAACACACTGAGGATTTTCCCCAGAATACGCGAGAATGATGGATGCTCTCCAAGAAGCACGTGTATACGAGTTGCGAGAGAAACCGGACCAAACAAGGCTGTTAGTTATTGCGCAACCTCAGCCACATGGCGCCAAGGGCCAAATACTCCTGCCTCTTGCCCTATCCGTGTCGTGGCCCGGCCATTCCCGCCATACTCTAGATCATTGCCCCATGCCTGACCCTGTCCCACAGAAGCTATATCCGTCTGCTGGCTGAACTTTTGTCAGTATCCAAGTGTCGTGACTGTTTGAGCAGGTGAAATGACACGTTCCGAGGAGAACTTCTGCAAGTTTGCTGCTGCCTCCCGGGCTCCACGGAGAGAAGAACATGAAAAATATATGCTGCATTGCAGGGTCTCAGATGAAGTAGTGCCTGCGTCTTGCCCATATCTTTTTTTCTGCTTTTTGCTCTCAAGCATAGTATGTTATGCCGAGAACAAATACTCCGTTTCGGTATCTCTGTCATTTTCCGTTCTAACCCCTGGACATTCCGGTAATGCAGGTAATATGCAAGCCATCGCGCCAAACAACTCTATGTCGACTTTTGGGTTGTCCACTCTCCTCTCTCTCTCCTTATGCAAACAATAGCATTGCGCTCAACCTCGTTCGCAAGCTGTACGAACACTTCGTACATGTACACTTGACGAGCACAAATTCTGTGCAAGCAGAATTAGGTATTTCGTGCATCCAAGGTTCTCTAGAAATTGGACGAGAGACATTCATCCAACCTATTGCCGTTAATAGAAGTGCCAGTGCCTTGCATAAGCCCGACGTCTTAATATGCAGCCTGCTATGCAGCACTAGCCGTTGGTGTCACGGCTCAATCCGACACCACTTGTCCCGAAATGTGTGAGCTTTTGTCAGTGTTCGTTACCTGGCGTGCTGGCGTAGTAGTATCGGCGTATCAAGATTCAACGGCTATGCCTGTTGAACTGGCACATGTGGGAAACATCAGGCTCCGAACGGTTCGTGCTGCTGGTACTTGAAACGCAGCGTGTGCACATGAAATATCAATCAGTCAACCCACGGTTGATGCAACAGCCCTTGCTCAGGCGGAGAAAGCGAAAGGGACAAGTCCGGGTCTCTGGAACTGTGCGCGAAGCATCGAGGCCCTACGGCCCACGGCTACCGATCCGCCGGCCCACGACGCAGGGTCACCCTGGCTCATCCAATCTTCAACGAGCTTCCGAAGGGCCAGGACTCCCGGCCAGCTAGCGGGTGACCAGTCCAGAACCGGGAACGAGGTCTGCCACTGCGGCCAGGGTCGGCCGAGAGCAGAGGGCATCAGCTGCCACAAGTGGTGATACCGCTGCAACGTCGTAACTTGCGGAAATATGGTCAAGGCTCTCTAATAAGAGCTGTCTCGAACAACGTGGTGGTCCACTCGGGAATTGCAAGGGTACTAAGACCCAAGGGGCAATGAACTCTTGGTTCGTGAGCGGCATGGGGAATGGCTGCGGATCAAGACGTTGACGGTTGAGCAAACGTTGCTCTGATGGCACTTTATTCGAACAGCAAATGGGCGAGATAAGCAGTAGAGGGCATGTGCGTTTGGCGGCAACCTAGAGATCAATACGGATAACTGATGGCCCATCCCTTCTCGAGCCGTTCGTGGTCTGAGTATGAAATGATCGTGATGGACAGCTGTATCTGATGTTAGCTGGTACCTTGGTGAATAGTGATTCCCACCACCTTGCTGCCGTGCAAAGGAAAAGCATGTTTCAATGAGCTTTGGTAGACGCGGTCGTCTTTTGTGTCAAAGCCGATGATTGTTGAAAAGGGCGAAACTTTGTGAACGAAATCAACAAGGACTTGTGCAAAGAGTCGAAGGGTGTTTCATCGTCCGGGGCTAAGGAGCGAGCGTCAACAACGACTGGACAGATAAGTAAGCTTGCGCCGATGTAACTGTGGTCGAAGACAGACAGTGTTAGTCGTCGAAACTTGACAATGGCGACGCACAAAGATACATACCGGAGGATAGCTAGCTAAATGTTAGATCCGTAGCTTGCTGTGATGTGTCGGAAGGGCGTAGACAGGCCGCAGATGAACTTTGTGAAGCTGTTGCTTGAGTCAAGTCTTGTCCTGTTGCAATCAGTCTGTGGCTCCATGCTCTATTGAGTTCTCCGTGTAACATTGACGATGGGTCACGGAGTCGAGGTAAGGCTACGGAGTAGAGAGATGAGGGAAAGACTCAGCTCCAGAATAAGATAGAGGCTAGCTTGATGTAGCATGCGCAGCTGGGTGCAAATCAATAAAGTGTCACAATTTATGGGATGCCGTCGGTGAAGGGATAAGAAAACGAGCTTGCCGCGCCTTGTGCAAATCACCGAGGTTCTCGTCACCTTCCCTCCCAATTCCCAAATTCCCAGATTGTCCCAATTCGAATTCATTCTCGGAAGGCACTCATTTCCCTTCCTTTCCCTTCCTTCCTTTTTCCCTTCCAACCTCTTTTTGGGCACCACCTCACTCTTTCCTTATTTCTGGCCAATGCTTTCTTTCCATATTCCATCTTGACTAATACGATTACTTCTCCATACGTTCCTTACCTGACTCTGGTACCTCAAGAGAACTATTTTTTTTGACTTTCGTCGTCGCTCCCTCTCGCAAACCGAGGTGTTTCCAGCATTCCTGCTACCCAATCCTTCCTCGTTTTCTCCTTCTTCCATTCCCTTTGTCCCTTCCTGCCTCGTTCACCTATTCGACCCGGGCGCCTTTCTACAAGACACGACCGACGACCTTTGAATTCATCGCTTCGTCCCTTCCTTGATCGCTCTCTGCGACTCCTCGCCTACGTCAGCCCTACTTTAACTTGCGCCGGAGCAAGGACGAACCCAGCTTATTCGCATGCGACCGATCCGAGCAATGAACGAACGCCAATCAAGCCAGAGACTGAACTGACATCCTGCTGGCTGCGAATCGCTGCACCACCAGGTTCTGCCCTACATCTTGCTGGTCTCCAAACTTCCGAGGTCTTGCGAACCCCGTTTATCTCTCCCACCCGTACCTTCTCGCCCTTACCTTTCCAATGCTTGGCTAGGCAATCCAGTCAGGTCTCTTGCGCTTTGTTCGACGAATTACCTCTGCATCCCAGCCCAATCGCGTGGAAGCCCAACAAAGAACCATACCAGTACCGACCGGCGTCTGCACTCCCGTATCTAATAGGTACTGCGGCGTCAAGTGGGTGACAAACTAGATCACCGGTCAACGCATAAGTATCACCTTATAACCACTACCATTTCTTTTATCCCCTATTTACATCTCTTGAAGTATTTCCTTAAAGAATATACACATGATAGAGAGTAGAGTACAGTGGGATAAAGAAGAGTAGTGGTAGAAATATTTACCTGTACGCGAGGGTGGTTTGAGCGACAAATCATTCTGTCACACACTTGGGCGTATGCCCTTTTCCCTCCAATAACGATTGCATTCCCGTTCGCCGGCTCCGCCAGAGTCCCTGGTCGCCAAACCCCACCGACTAAGGCACTGACAACAGTGCGCTTGATGAGTTCGCCCAGGCATCCAGCAATCCCAGCATTCCAGCGCCGCTCATCGATCCTCCTCATTCGACAACCCGCCGACGACACAACTGAACCCGGCGAGGATCAGTCTGCTTGACCCAGTTATCACTCGAGCTCAGGACCACCGGACCCAGCCTACCCACGCGCCAGCTCAGTCGTTGTCATCCGTCTCTGACTGGCCACGTACCGCGCTGCATCACAGCAAGCTGCAAGAGGCGATTGTCTCTACAGAGGCACGCCGGGCCTGCTGCGTAGGGTTCAAGGACAGACAAACACGAGAAAGCTGTCACCTCAATTCAAGGTTTGCCCACGAAACACTCAGAACAAATGTCCGTCACGGAAGCATCGGTTGCAGAGGCAGAGGCCAGCTGCAACAATACAAATACAATTGCTGGTGCCGTTGTTCCCTCTGGAGACTCGTGTTCCAGCCACCAACCACAGCGCCCGCTGCACGCGGAGGACCAGGCACAGGCCCCCGAAGCCACTACTACAGCAGACCACTTGGACCTTGGCTTCTCTGACGTCTCCAGCCCGCATCTTTTCCAGCTAAACCCGCAGTCCCAGGTTGTAAACAACAACACCATCGACACCACCGAAAACAAATCGTCGTCACGCCCGACAAGTGATAACGCAGCAACCTCAAAATCCGCAAATACCACACCGGCAGGCTCCCCTACGACAAATAAAGCAAAACAAACCCGCAAACCTTCACCCAACCTCGCCGCCCGATTGAAAGCGCTTGGCTTTACCTCGCACAAGAAGTCAACAGACCAACTTCTTGCTCAACAAGACCACGTTGGCCGCTTGCCCGAAGACCAGATCCGCTTAATCGACGATAATCATAAGGCGAGTTCCGTCGAATCGAAAATCAATCGACGCGGTCGCCCTTGGAAGGGCTTCACATCATCCGACGACTCGAGACCACAGACTGCATCTTCCACTGCTTCGAGAGAAGACCTCAACACTTGGATATTGTCATCCTCGCCAGACGTTGCCCCGGGGGCGTCTCTCGTCCTACCCGAGATCATAACAACTGCGCCCTTGGACATGGAGACACACAAATACCGTCTGCCTGACCACACCAATGGGAACGGTACCAAGGTACAACTTGAGACTCGACGAGAGCATCTCGAACGAAATGGTGCCCTTCCCGCCTCGGATCAACCGCCTCCACCTCCTCCGAAAGATACACCCCCGGTACCAGCGGTTGAGTTCACACCCGATCTGGCGTCGTACTTCACTCCCGGTCACCAGCGACCCGGTTCCATTTACACGCTTTCCCGTGCATCCTTCGCCAATCAGCTAGCTCAACTAACATCACTTCAACTTCCCGATGCGGAGTCCTTGTCCAGCAAGGTGTCCGCTATCCCGACAGCACAAGTCGCATCGAAAGCCTTGATCAACGCCGCAGAGCAAATTAGAAGTTGGATCTACAAGGCATCAGAGGTTATTGGTGGTTTGGACAGCGATGATGACGTTGAGTGGGCCGCGGCAGGTGGTCGCGAAGGATACGAAGAAGTCGAAAACGCCATACATCGTTTCGAGAAATTGATCAAAGTATACGTTGGTGCTATTGAGGAATTGCAAGGTCGCGGAGACATTGCCGACGTCCCGCCCGAGGATCTTCATCGCGCTGTCTCCCAAATGGAGTCCATCATCGAAGAATGGGCCAACATCAAAGCAGCACTCAACACTGTCAAAGGGCAAGTCGAACTTGCGATGGAGTGGGAAGAACTATGGAACAGTGTCTTGGGAGATATCCAAAGCGAAATGGACGAATTGAGCCGTCTGGTCTTCGAGATGGAAGAACGACGCCACAAGTCTTTGATGGCTGCCGCAGGCGGCGACGGCGTCGATATCGGAGACCTTGAGAATATTGTGGAGGATACTCCTCCTCCCGTTGCCAGGATGCAGGCGCAAAACCGCTTCAGCCTCCCCGGTCTTCCGCTCAGTCCTGGGTCAACGTCCCCAGGAACGCCTACACCCACCCTGTCACAAGATGATTCAAGTCTCCTGGCCCTTTTCGCACGGATGCAACCCTTGCGCGCATCGCTAGACTTCCTTCCTATGCGACTCGCCGTATTCGCTGCCCGAGCCGAGAAATCCTTCCCAACTGCTTGTGAGGAATTGGATATGCGACGCACAGGTCTCGATGGCAGTTACAAAAAGCTGGAAAAGGATGCCGAATCACTGCGTAAGGAGTTGGGTGAGGATCGCTGGGTCATTGTTTTCCGCGGAGCAGGACGACAGGCCCAGAAGATGATCGAGTCGGTAGAGAGGTCGATGATCAAGCTAAGGGAAGCTGTCGACACCGGCATGCATCTTAGCAGCCCACCGACAATGATCAAGAAGATCGAGAGTTACGACGCCAAGAAGACGCATTATGGCCCAGCTATCGAGCGAGTCTTGGCCATCATCGACAAGGGCGTTAAGGACCGGCTTACTGTCAATGGCGAGATTCTCCGTTTGCATGCCGAGATGCAGTCGAAATGGGAATCGATCAAGGACGAGATGCGAGAAATGGACGTGGTCGTGGACGAAGTGCAAGTAGACACCAGAGGCCAGCAGCTGAGGGATTCTATCTCCAGCATGCTGTCGAATGATCGCTCGACGATTGGTAGTGGCCGCGATACCCCCGGCAGCTCTCCTCCTTCCTCGGTAATTATGTCGAGTCTCGGATTAGAACCAGTCACTCCCAGGAACAAGATGGCCAAGAACCGCTCCGTAAGCACCAACAGTCACTTGCCGCAGCCATCGGGAAGACGACAGTCGTCACTGCCAACACCTTCCTCTCAGCTGCCTCGCAAGCCCTTGGTACCTCGACTGTCGAACATGACTTCGAGGCTCGGTACTCCATCTGCGGGCAATATCCCCAGACCTGCTTCAACGCAACCGAACCGGCCCAGGTGGAATGGTTCGACAAACACCACGGATGTTGGCATTGGCCACAACTTCAAGCCACTGACCCTCACCTGTCCCAGCCCCTATGCCAAAAAGACATTGCCAGGCCCGCGGCCAGCATCCTCCTTGACCCCGCGATCCTCATCGCCCGGCGGTACGAGGTTGCCAACCCTTCGGAGCCCCCTAACCCGAGAGTCATCCGCGTCACCCATGCCCGAGGACACGCCCACGAAGAGAGCCCCATCGAAGTTGTCTTTCCGAGAGCGCCTAGCCTCGCCTGGCCCGTATTCTCAGCAGACACTCTCTAAGCCACGTTTGTCTCCATCTGTCTCTACGTCTGGTCTCGAGTCTTCGTCAAGTCGACGTGCCTCTTTGCAACCACCCAAACTTCACTCATTTGCCGACCGAGCTGTACCAAGCCGTCCTGCAAGCTCGTTGGCATCGACTCGTCGAACTAGTCAACTGCCACAACTTAAGGCAAGCAGTACGACCGGTGGCATGGAGACCCCTCCAACACGATCTGTCTCGCGAAATACTACACGCAAGACTCTTCCAGAGCTGTCTAAAAGCACCTCCAGCCAGAAGCCTCGATGGAGGGGCTAGGAGTCTCTTCTATCCAGACAGAGGAGAGTGTTTAGTTCTCCGTTGGCAACAATTACGCAGCAAAACGAGTCAGTCGCTGAGGTGAGAGACAAACCCCGCTGGCGGACTTGACGAGGCACCGATGGCAGAAACGGCAGACATGGCTTGAGTCTTTCTTGACTTGCTTTGCCTCAGCTGGATTGTCATTACAGCACGATATTGAATTTTGTACATATTCGAATACCCTCTTTCACGGCAGTGCCATTGATTGATCCTACTTTATTTGCTTTATGGCGAGGCGTCGGATTAGGATCCGTCGAGGGGCGTTTGGGTTTTTCACTCTTGGGCAGGAAGATACCTGCCTAACGGTCTTTTAAGTATTATACCAGGAGGGGGGATATGGAGTCTGGTTTCGGACGAATTTGGGAAGGTCCAAGATGATCGTGAGCCGTCGCCGTCACGATGGACTGCAACGGAAACCCCAAGTCGCGCTCCGACGAACGCGAGGCTATACTCTCAAAAACAAACAAAACAAAAGACACCACTTGTATTGCAATGGAATGGATTGGGCCTCGCGAACGGACTTTATACCCCTCATGACACTGATATCTCACGGGAATGGTAGGATGGGCCGCAGGGCAGGAGACGTTGCGTGGAGGGAAAGTTTAGATAGCTGCGCGAAAAGACGTAAATTGATAATTCGTATTTTCGAGGCCATGTTGCTCGCGTTTCCCCACGGTTGAGTCAAGATTGAGTGGAATCTACAGTTAATCATCGCTCCGATGCTAGTCTGCATCATATTCAAGCCCTAAGATGATATCAACACGGAGATCAATCTTTCCAAACAGCTGTGAAAACCGGGGATGGTCTCAAGTACAGCTGAGGAATATATGTCTTGATCATTCATTGTCAACATGAAAATGCCAAAATGTACCTATGCTGCGCCAAAGAAAATGCTTGTTGACCGGTCGACGCCTGCCCGTTAAACCAGTATCGTGTGGAAACACTTGCTTTACCCCCGCCGTGAGATATGAATGGTATAAGACTTCTTCTCCCCCAACTCGTCCCGGCCGTTTTCCTCCCGCCTCATGAAGACGTAGGTAACAGATGCGGTGGAGCATGTGTCTCATGGTCCTTACTCTCCGCAATATCTTGTGTCCTTCTCGTCCGTCGCTTCCCATTCAGTGTGTTCAATTCCATACCGATGCACATCTCACACGTGAGCTCTTCTCATCGGCCCCTCAATGTGGCATTAGCCCGATACCGCTACCACCGCCGCCGCCACCTCTCCTCCCGCCCTTGGAGAAGTAGCTGGTCACGTAGCTGTTTCTCGAAGCTGTGGTTCCGCCACTGCTTCTTCTGTTTGCTCCGCCGGAGGCCTTCTTCTTGGTGACGCCGCCTCCTTGCTTCTTGCTTGCCCATGAGCTGGAGCCCTTGCGGCCCCCTGATTTCCGACCCCCTCGAGCACCACCACGCCCCCTCGTCGAAGTTGACGATGAGGCTCGGGTCGGAGGCGCTGTGTCTAGTTCCTTCATCCTCTCGTTCCACTCCTGAACAGAAGGTGCGAGGGGAGGCGGTCCGCTACTAAAATACTTCGAAGATTCCTCTTCCTCGTCATCCATATCTTCATCCTCATCGGAGCTGATCAAGTCGACGATACTCTGCTCGTCAACTTCCATATCTTCATCATCGTCCGCAGAGCTGAGCATTGCCTTGTAGTTACTATGAAAGCGTTTGATCAGGGGGATAAATTTGTTGCCAAACTTCGCCACCTTTTCTGGCTCGATCCCCGAAATTTGACGCATTAGAGGGAGGGTGTCTGTCCATCGGATGGCCATTTCTTGGAAACTCTTCTCGGAAAAGAGAGGTTTCCGTAGTCCCTGATCGTTCCGCAGAGACTCCTCGAGCCGCTTGGCCTCTTGAACGAAATTGTGGACGACGTCTTGGTGCAGATCGCCAAGTGCTCCCAAGCGTATGTCCTCCTCGATACGGGGCCCAACCGCCTTGGAGGCATTCCCACGTTTAGGAGGGGGAGGCGGTGGCTCAAACCCATCATCGGACTCGTTATCCGACATGACAAAGTCATCCTTGATGTAGCCATTTGCGTGTAGTGACAGACTTTGCTCTTCCATCTCTCGCCTAAGCACCTCATCTTCCTCGTCAGAATCGATGACAGTGGCAAGGGACTTGCCCTTTGACCTCTTGTCTTGCGTTCTTCGAGCTTGCGCCGGCGAAGACACGTTGGTCGAAGGTGGCAGGCGTCTTCTCGGCGGTTCTTCCTCTAGGTCCTGCTCTTTATTGTTCTTGCTCTTTGGGGTCCGCTTTTTGGGTTTTGGTGCCAATGGTTCCCTATTCCTATCAGAAACCTGGACTGATAATAATAGTTTGCGGCGGCCATTGAGAAACAGGTGGGCGTTGCGACCAGGCTAAGAACGTGTTAGAATTACTGAAGGTAGCCAGATATAAGCAGCAGTGGAACTTACGATGAGATACTGGATCGCAATACCGGCCCTCTTGTTCACCACGTTCTCCTCATCTAGGGCCTCCTCAGCTGTAAGTCTATCGATGATGCGTTCGAGTTCATGCTTCTTCATCCCCTTTGCAATGCCATGGGGATCGTCAGGATGCGGGTCTATGGTCTTTTGGTACTTTTTCCCCATCAGTATCTCACTGCACTGATTTATAGTCAGGCGTTCGTGGAGCTGGATGGTCCGTATTGCTCCGACGGCAAGTTCAGAGAAGTCTTGCTGCTCAAAGACAGCGCCGGCTCGACAGTTGTCGCAGGTCTTCTCACACTCTTTAGGGTCGAATTGTTCGCCAAAGTAGCGGAGGATCTCAACGTGGCGACAGTCTTCCCGGTTGTCGCAGAACGCAGTGACTCGATTGAGCATCACTCTTTGCCGTTCTTTCTGCGCATGGCTTCCTTCACCCTGGGAAATCATCTTCTTCAAGGTGGCAACATCCTGATAGCCAAAGTATAGAATGCAGTCCGAAGGATTGCCGTCTCTGCCCGCGCGCCCTGTTTCTTGGTAGTAGCCTTCCAAGCTCTTGGGAATCGAATGGTGAATAACAAAGCGAACGTCAGGCTTGTCAATGCCCATGCCGAACGCGATTGTCGCTACGACGACGTGGATCCTGTCTGCTTGCCATTCTCGCTGTACTCTGATTCTGTCTTCAGGAGTCATCTGCGCGTGGTAATGACTTGCTTTGACGCCATACTGAGAACGCAGCTTCTCGGCGACTTGCTCTGCAGTCTTTCTTGACAATGTGTAGATAATTCCACACTGCCCGTCGTACTTAGACATGATTAAACCAGCGATCTTATGGATCAGCTCCTTCTCTTTCCGTCGAACCTCATACGTGAGGTTCGGACGATTGAAGCTCTGGCTGAAGACCTGGCAGCTGTCCATGCCTAGGTTATGCTTGATGTCGACGATGACGTTCTGAGTCGCTGTCGCCGTAAGTGCAATAATGGGAACAGTGGGAAAATGATTGCGAAGTTTTCCCAGTGCCTTGTAATCCGGTCGAAAGTCATGGCCCCATTGACTAACACAATGTGCCTCGTCAATCACGATACGTGCGAGGCGCTTGTTGGAGTAAAGACTGGTCAGGGCCCTCATGAAGTTGTCACTGTTGTTTAGCATCTCTGGCGTGACGTAGAGCAACTGAATGTAGAGCTCTGGACTCCTCTCTTTGAACGAAGAGAAAATCTGACTTCGCTTCTGAGGACTCGTCTCACCGTTGAGCGAAACAGCTTGAATATTGACAGCTGACATGTGATCCACCTGGTCTTGCATAAGACTAAGCAAAGGGGAGACGACAATCGTAATTCCTCTCGTCTTTCCGCTAGTGATAATAGCTGGAAGTTGGTAGCAAAGGGATTTGCCGCCTCCGGTTGGCATCAATACGAAAGCATCTTTGCCTCCGAGAGTAGCGTTGATGGCTTCCAGCTGATTGGAGCGAAACCCTCTCATCCTGAATCTGTCTTTCAGAGCCTTCCTCACGTCTGCTGACCAGGGATGTTTCATCAACTCCGGTGGCATCGACAACTTCGCTTTAGAAGGCTCTCTCTTCTTTAGAGGTTCAACAGTTTTTGAAGGCTGAACACCATTGCCCGATGTCGAAGCAAGTGCACTACGGCCTCTCGCTGTTTCGGCAGATGAAGACTGTCGGAGCTCGAAATCGTGAGCAAGCGCAAGCATGTCCGCGTCCGCATCGTCGCCGTAGTCGCTAGACATGTCCTGGGCGCGAGGGCCCACTTTCTTAGGAGGACTCTTCCGATTTGGTGTCGGTCTCAATACAGGTGGCGGGAGAGGGTTGAATGCGCCGTAATCGTCTTCGATGTCATCGGAGTATTCATCTTCGAACTCATCGCGTCTGCGAGACTTGGCACTTGGTGCGACGGGCTTCGCACTACTTGGAGCTTGCGGTCGACTCCGGGGAAACGGCGGTGGCGAGTGATCCCTTGGATCAGTAAGCCTCGATGACCCCGGGAATTGCGTCTGATGAATGACTTGACTATCCATCTCCGTGGGCCCTGGCATGTCCCTGGATGCCCTGGAAGAAATTTTGTGGCCAGGTTGCGTGCCCATGACCACGGACTTGGATCTGCGGTATTCTTCGATGAAGGTTTCGTCCACTATACCAACACCAGGAAGAAGTTCATCGATGGACTGCTCCAGATCTTTGAGTTTATCGGCGAGTTCATCTAAGCGATTCTCTTCCTCTTCAGTATCGCGACCTTGGTCGTATGCGTCGGCAATCTGCATTGCAAGATACTCTCTCTCATCTTCAAGTGCTGCATGTGCATTAAGCAGCTCGGAAACTTCCTCCAACCCGGCCTGTTGTTTCAGCAGCAACTCCTTTGCGCTCTTCAGCTCGGCGCGATCTTCTTTAGTGCCTTCTCGTAAGACCCTGGCATAGTCCTTCAGGTTTTGGTCGCGCTGGTCTTGAATCATCTTCTCCCTGGCCTTCAGGGAGTCTCTATTATTCAGGATGAACTTGAGCACAGCAGACTTTTGTGTTTGTGACGAGGTGCTTTGCTGGGACGTGGATTTTGTGGGTTGGTTCCGAGATGGCGAGGGTGTATAGCTCGTCTCAGCTGGTGCGTTGTGGTTTTCGGGTCGTAGCACCGATGACTCAGGCTTGGAGGGTGTTTCGGGAGCAACAAGCCCGTCAGATAACATGGTGTCGTCAAGAGGAATCGATGCAGGTCTTGATCTAGAGTTTGTAAACGGCATAGTCGAGCCTGTATGGCGACTTGGCGTAGCAAGGAGCTCTTCATCAATATCCCCGTCATCGAACTCGTCATCCGTATCTTGTATTACCCGAGGTCTGTTGCGTTGCTTCTTTGGTTGAAGATCTAGTGACCCGACTCTGGTGTTCACTTCCGGACTTGATGAGATCCGTAACGCCTTGCTTGGTGTCCGACCAAGAATCTGCTGGCCTCCCGAAGCCATTGGCAATCGTCGCGGTGTGCCGTTTCCACTAGGGTCTTCGGACATTTTGTAGGTGCGCTGGGTCCGACTGATTGTTTGTGTGATGGTCCGCTCTTCAATGACCCCTTTATCGGTAGTTGCTCGACGAATACTGGAGGGAATGGTCCTCGGTCCCTTAACCGAGCGACTACCCTTTGGCGCAGGTGTTCCCAACGTCTTGTAGATGTCTGGAAACTCGTCCGAATCTGAGCTCAAGTCGCCCGCTTTGCTCATCTCAGTGCTCTTCCGTTTCTGACCTCGTTTGCTCAATGGCTCTGGCCTTGACGCATGTTCCTCATTCTGTATAGTGACTCCATCGTCAAATCCCACTGAGTCTGATGACAAAACAGTCTCGTTGCCAGTCAGGTCGAGAATTTCGTCATCGTCGTCGTCGAGAAAATCTGGTGTGGGTGCCGGCGCCGGCTTCCGCCTTCCTTCCTGTGATGATGACGGGGCAGCTCGATTCCGCTCGTTCTGTGCATCTACAGACAGAAGGTCAGCCACTGTGCTATGAGAGAGAGCAAATATGTACTCACCCTCCTGCTGAAGCTTGGCCGTGTAAGCTTGCTGGAATCTGCCACCACTCGTTGTCGAAGACGGTGTCAACAGCTGCTGCGGCTGCGGCTGCTGTTTCACTGCCAACGAGGGCTTTCTAGGCTTCGTGGAAGATGTCAATCTCGCCATGGACGCGGAGTTTCCCGTTATTGCCACCCTAGAGTCCCGTGGCTGTTCCACCGCGTCCGGGGCATGGAGTGCAGGTTCAGCATGCGTTCGGCCAGGTATTGATTGAGGATTTGGACGAGTCGGAAGCTCTTGTTGGGAGCTCGAGCTACCGAAACGGCTCTGAGACTGCGAAAACTCGACACCGGAGGGGTCGCGGGCTGGTGGAAAGGCGAGATCGGTGGGTTTAGATAGCGCGACGTTGCTTAGCAGCCAGGAGAGATGGTCCCCAAGGTTGTTTCGAGTCATTTATCCGACTGCAGGCAATGTACCTGGGGTGTTCCGAACGTCATTGGGAGACGTGTCTAGGCACAGTTGAGGCTCTTTGGAGGTCGTTGCAAGATTGGTCGTTGGTGTTTACACCCGGTCCATCACGTTGAAGGTCCCAACCGCGTTTGCTCCCCCACCCACTTTAGCTAGCGTGTTGTCGCGTCTTGGCTTAGTCATTCTCGCACCCTGCATCTCGTCTTCACGTGATCTGGCGCTCAGTTTCGGGTGGGTCCACTTCTCGACAACCACTTCTCATGAAGCCAATTGCAATCACTCTGCACCCGATGCTTTGTATGCATGACGATAAGCTTGTTGGCTGAGCATGCTCACCTTAGACTTCGCGCCTCGATCCGGCTGGGTATCATTGACAAGCATTCACGAGACTTTGCAGTATAGAGGTCCTGCAAGACGAATTCTCGTTTGGAAAATGTATAAGTATCTATCCTCAATTATGTACACGAAGTGTTTAGCATCCCCTTAGGTTCGTGAGTGACTGGAAGCGTCGGTTCTTCCACCCAGTTATACAGGTAGCTACGTTTTTGTAGAGAGAATGACTGCAAAAAGACTTCCAGCAACAATACTAATACGGTTCTCCTGCAACGTCCTTGTCAGATGTGCGTGAAGACAGCACTTTACACACAATCCCTGTGGCGCTTGCGCAGGACGATAAGCTAGTCCATGCACTCAATGCCATGCAGCTACCTTAGGCAGCGTGGGGCTTCCCCAGACGATGCAATGTCTTTCTTATCTTTCCGACTGTCAAAGGCAGTAATGAAGATCAATGTGGTGGCGGAAGGAGGGATGGGAGTGTGGAGGTGCTTAGGGTGTGGGCGGGACAGCCTCAAGTCCGGCACTCCGGGAAGGTACTGGCTAAGATCCATGATGCCGCAGGCAAGATTGAATCACGGAGGCCTGCATGACCTGCAAATTTCGGCACTCAATCAATGTCTCTATCAGACCAATTGTTGTTGGAAGATCACGGGGTAGGAAGTCTATGAGCAATTGTAGATGGAGCTTAGATTGCGTAACATGAAATTATTTACCAAGAATGCCAACAGTGGATATCATTTTTGCCCGTTCCATACTCCAGACGGACCCCCAAGAGCCATTCTACCGGGCTCGAACCCTATTCAAAAAGCGAACTATGAGACAAGAAACCAATCGTAACCAAAAAGTCATGAATCTTCGTGAACGTCTTGCGCCTAGTGGCGCTGAGCCATGGGAAGTGGGTGAATCCAAGAGACCAGCAGGTTGATTGCAATGTGAATGCAGCCAATAACCCAAAAGCCTTTTGCATAGTTCGTGCCCTGGTCCATGAAGCGGAAGATGATGGCAAAGATGACACCGCCAAAGTTTCCACCGGCGCCGGTGACACCAGACACGATACCGTTGGCATAGCCGTGAACGTGCGGGATGAGTCCAAAGTTGGCGCCGTTGCCTGCCTCGTGGAAGACAGCCATCAAGAAGACGAGACCAAACATGGTCGATTCGTTGTGAGGGTTGAGTTGACCAATGAGAATCAGGAGAGCGCCGGTGAGAACGCCGCAAGTCGTGATCCAGCCCTTCTTAAGCCAGAGATTCTGGCCACCGTAGCGGTAGAGCAGATCAGACACGACACCACCGGCGGGGCGGGTAACGACGTTAAGGAAGCCGAACATGGCAGCCCAGTTGCTGGCACCAGTCTGGCCAAGGGAGGGGAAGTTCTTCAGGTAGTAGGAAGAGAGGATGGCGTTGATTGCCAGCTCGCCGCCGAAGGAGCAGCCGTAGGTGGCTACATGGAATACTGTTTGGGGAGAGGCAATGACCTGCATAGCTTCCTTGAAGGACGGGCTAACGACAGTGTCGGCTTGTGCCGTCTCGATCATCTCGGTCCGGGAGAGGGTGGCCTCGTGGTCGGAAACAACGCCGTTCTTGCCGTGAGTGCTGTTCTTTTCCTCATCAGATGCCATTGAGCCTGTGTTGCGGTCAGTGATGCCGCCGGGAACATCGACCACATCGGATCGCACAACGGCATCAACACCGTGAGAGTGGAGATTCTCCTGGGCATGGAGGTGGCGGTCTGCCCATTTGCCCGTCGGTGTATCTTCGCAGAGGAGGAGAAGACCCATGCCGCAGCAGAAAAGGCAGATGACGGGTACGATGAAGGTCAACCGCCAAGCTTGACCAGGGGAGTAGCCACGTGCGTGGACGAAAGAGTCGTAGACTGCAGGCATAACGAAGTAGGTGATTCCACCACCTGCGTTACCCCAACCGCCAGCCAATGCATTGGCGGTTCCAACAACGTTCTTGTCGAAGAATCCAGTGCACCACACTTGGCAGGGTACGAAAGTGGCGCCAAGAACACCGATGAAGAAGCGGGAGATGTATAAGCCTGTGGCGTCCTTGACCAGCGGTGCAAGGCCAATGGGGATAGTGCCGATAAGAAGCAGCGAGCCAAAAACGATACGTGAACCGAATTTATCGCAGGCGGGCCCAGCAATGAGCCGCATGAAGAGTGTTGCGACCAGGGAGACAATGTTGGAGTTTGCGACTTGAGCCGTGGTAAGATTGAGATCCTTCTTGATCGTGACCGTCAAAAGAGGCGGGAAGGTGTACCAGGCCCAAAACTATCGCCACGTCAGTTCACGTTTACGGGAGAAGTCGTCAAGACTTGTACGTACAGCAATCATGAAGCCAAGCCACGAGAAGTGGAAGGCTCGTGCGTAGACATTGAAGATGTTGAACACAGGGATACTGCGAGCCTTGCGGTTGATAGGGTTCACCTCGGGTGCCCTCCAGAGAACGGAAAGCTGCATCGTGATAGCTTTTGCACTGTTTGCTCGTGATTCTCGGTGTCGTGTGGTTAAGGCGTCGGTCAATGTGGAGGGTTCGTGCTAGTCGCCGATGATGACCCACGTAGGCAAGGATGCCGAAGCTCGAGTCTTGTCAGAAGAACCTGGTTGTTGATGTTGTCGAGCGTCCGGATGATGGGATCTGCAACTATGGCTACCGGGAAGGCTCAAAGGAGGACAGTCTTATATGAATGCTTGCAACGTATAGACATATGGTTCTTGAAGATCGAAGGCGGTTGATGCATCTCCGGAACAACAAGACGCTAAACCGGATTGATTCTGCTGCAAGAATCCCCTGCCCTGGCGCGGGGATACAAGGATGAAGGGGGGGCACAAATGCGAGGGTGACGGAGACGCGCTGACGGGATGGGAGGCGGCCAAGAGGCGTAAAGGGACCGGACCACACCAACTGCGTGGTAGACTTGATACTGGATAGCGGGCTCGCTGTTCGATCTCTCAGATAAGAATCTACAGACGGGAGAAAGACGGAGATGACACAATCTTTCCTGTAGCGTAGGTAGGCCGAGGCACAAGGGTGATGTCTCGAATGAGAGTGCCGGTGCTGCACGTTGTGTCTCTAATACTCGATCAAACGTGGCTCGTGAAGAATAGTAACTGGCAGCCAAGGGGGAGCTCGAATGAGTGACAGATCTGAAGCTGCAGATTATTGTTTGAAGGCTCAATCCGAAGTGAGTGAGAGACAGTCACGATTGTGACGAGACCCAGTCGAGTCTTCTCCAGAGCCGAGAGGAATGCTGAGATGAAAGCCAACAGCGGTGTACTTCTCCCCTGGGCCCTTTGAACTCGCTGCAAATATGTTCTTCGTCGACTGGGAGCCGGCTTGAGTGTAATCAGACGCCTAAAACCACGCTGTCGCGACCTTCAGTGCAGTAGGTAGCGAAGCACAGTGATGTGATGAGCCAAGAAAGGTGGCCTCTGACGCTAGGTTCATATGCCTTATCTTGACGGTCCTTGCCTTTCTAAGATACTCAGTAAAGTGCTTTAGAAGGAAAGTGATTGGACAAGGGGGGAAAGGAAACGGGGAGCAATACGACGAAACGGAGGCTTCTGAGCTTATTGCTTATCTTTGGTAGGCTCACGTCTGGCGCTCAAGATGCAGTTGTGACGGTCGAGCCCAGGCCCCACCCCTGGCGTCCAAGAGATAAGGAATTGACTCTGGTATCTGACTGGCGAATGCTTACTCGTTGGCGTCGATCTCCGCGGGGCTCATTCGACCATTGATGGCATGTACGTCAAGCTTGTAGCGATGATTTGGAACCAACTGACTTTGAAGTCTGTAATAGTGCCCTTCTATGTCGTTGGCGATTGAAGGGTACGGATACCAGGTGAGCGATGTTTTGTGAAGGTGAAAGATGTTGGGAGTCTTGGCCTGCGACGATTTAACTTCAAGCACTGGCTTGGCTCCCTAGAAAAAACTAGACTAGGGACTCGGGGCCGGTCTTTGATATGGACGAGGCCCGCCCAATTGGCACCCGACGGCAGTGTCTTCCTTGATGATAGTGCCGTCTGCGCTAGCTGACGGTCATCACAAAGCGAGGCCAACGTCGTGGAACAATAGTGTCATACTTTGTCATTAATTGACGTCGTAGAGGAATTGAGACAACGTTGATCCTGATCATGGACCGCGTGCCGCTTGCTGTTCCTCAAAGACTGGCCAGAAATAAACGGGGTGGTGTAGTCCGGGACCCCGTAACTGGGGCAAGGTTATGGTACCCTCCGCCGGCTCTCCCTGATACTCTCTTTCCCCACGTTTCGTTGGCCATGATGCTCCCCAGGTGTGACGGGAGAAGCATGATGGAGTAGAAGAGCTGATGATGAAAAATGAGGATGACTAGGGAGTTTTAGGTTGCTACGCTGCATTTGGAGGGGGAGGTTGAGTTGAGATAAGATAAAGAGACAACGAAAGGTCGGGCAAGAAGGGCCTTAGCCGCAGCAGATCCACCACAAGGGGTTCTCGTGTATTATGTCAGCCATCCAAATCCCTACATCGGTCCCATTTGTCTGGTTCATACCCCCGGTTTGCCGGCTCCCATTCCCTGCCTTCCACACCCGGCGCGGCGAAGGTCTGGACTTTGTTTGCTGCTCGATTCCGACTTCAAAATCCCACGTCTTTCAACTTCGGACTTGTGGCTGATATGTCAACACTTGAAGCATCGCACAAACTGGCGCTACCGCATCTGTCGTGTATGGATCCGGTACAGCGGCCGTGGGTTGCGGGCGTTTTGAACGGCCCTTTCAGCCTCCACTCAACGCGGCAATGCGGACCCCTTTGCCTATTCCACACGTGTAAGTCAACCTCCGCGGAGTTGTCCAATCCAAGATAACGGCACAACCAACATCCAGTCGCCAACCCTCAGAATACTGAACGACCCATGCGCCCAGCCGCGGCTGCAAGGACATGTCAAGTTCTCTTGATCTTGAGATGAAATTAGTGAATAACTACTGTTCGAGGATTTCTTAACTCCGCAGGCGTTTGCATGCAATTGGTTGCATCATGAGTACAACCTGGAAGCAGGCGCTGAGTATGTGTAGCACATTCAGGGCGCAGGAAACGTGACACATATGTAGTGCTGAGCAAAAGTATTCCGTCGGGTGTTCTCTTATCGGACTATCGCCGAAGTGTTCCAGGTTGTTTCCGTCTCAACCCAAGTAGGTAGATAGCAAAGGGTCAGCATTTCACATGAGCATGATTGCTGTTTCCTGGCCAAGAGGTCCGCCCGCAATGATCAGTTAACTTAATGCTTTTCTTGTCATTCTGAGCGGCAGCAAGGAGCTGTGTCTGGGTACTTTTGCCTAACTACGGCTTCAAGCCGGCCTTCTTTGGATCCCAGTCTTTAGAAGACACCCTTCTGTTCAGCCAAGCATGACAAGCCCCGATCACAGCATTGAAAGCTGAGGCATCTACTGGTCTTCGAGCTTGGCCGGGTCCAGACCTCCTTATCTGGCGCCATCGTGACGAAGCAGATGAAGTTTTGGGCTTGTCATGCCTGAGAGTATTACGCCAGAGGACGTGGGGTTTAAGAAGCAAACCTTGGTGGTCCGGAACTACACAAACTGGCCGGCAGTGGGCACATAACTGCCTCCCTCGCCTCAGTAAGTGGATCGGATTTTGCATCTCCGGTTGACGTCGACATCCGTATCTTTGCACATGAGGAAACTATTGCGTCCGATCTCGGTTTAGAAATCCGATAAACCTTTTCATGGCCTCACGTAGCAGCTACATAGGTATCTTTCGTTTTTACCAGGGCGGAGTTGCTAGGAATGGTGTGATGAGAGCAAGCTCTGACATAGCCTTGTTGTCATATCTGAGCCTCGTCCTCGAGCAACAACCTGTGTCCAGCGGGGCTTTTCAAGCCCAACCCTGATATTGCCACCCGTGATGTACTTGCGATTTCGGGCAATCACTGAGAAAATGGTGCCCCATGCTACCAATTAGATTCAGGACATGCCACATGGTACGGCGAGGATTTCTCGTAATTGTGTGACCTGGTATTTCGCTGACATGCACATCTGACCCAGTTAGCAGAATGATGCGAGAGATGCCTCAGAGGAAAGCAACCACTCGCCAGCTTCACAGTTCAACGAAAACAGCTTTCGTCCAATGTCGTCGAATCGGAATTTTCGTCAAGACTCGTACAACAGTGTCTAAGTCCCCCGAAACCTCGGCTACGATTCTGCTCTCACGTTAACATACAACACGAGGTACTCAGTGCTCCCAGTGTTGTCTAGGCTGCGCCGCTTCACTTCTTGCGCCCGAGACAACAACGGCTGGAGACACTCAACTAAATCAGAAACGCCTGCGCGTGGTTTCTGTCTTGGTTTCTTGCGGAGATTGCTCACTTCGCCTAGTCGAACATGGGCAGATGCTCATCATTCTTTTGCGAGTGAAACTCTCCAGCAACATGCAACGGCTACGCTTTCGACATCAGCTTTGAGAAGGCCAAGTTTTTGGCTTCGAGGCCAATCCCTTCGCCCAATAGGAATTCCACTAATGCGGACTTCTATCGATCCATAGAAGAGTCCTCCGGCTTCTCGTCCTCGAACATGCAGAACAGAAGTTGGATGTGCAGTGGACCATGAGGCAGGCTAGCGAATTCCAGTGCTTCCTGGATTAAAAGTAAGTAACGTCCATTTACACACCTTGGTAAGCCTACGATAGTTGACACATTCAACTCGTGCGGGGGGCCGATTGTCCATATCGACACTGGGGCTGTTCTGATGCCACCATCGAAGGCCCAGGTAGCGAGACGAAACCCACGCCTGGCCATCCCATCTAGAGGAAACCACCTCGCAGGGCAAAAAGATACGCACAATGTTGAACTCTTCATTCATCAAGGGGGCTATTATGAGAGTTCCATAGAGCCAGCCGTTCACATGCTAGGCGAAATGTTCCTGCGCTCGAAGTTATGTCTGATGGCGGTTACCGTCTTACTGACCTTTACCGATACTTATCAGCCGAAGAGCTTTTTTTTTAGTAGTTTTTTTTGCCTCGCTAGAGTACCACTTGGCGGTCCTGTGTGTGCCCGACTTGAGACAGAAGATTGGCAATGGCCACAATGGGCTGCATGAAGCTTAGACAAGTAAGAAGCATAGGATCCCGATCAACTCGTTTAGACACATGACGTGTTTTGATCTGGGACAGTTTCACGGTCCTCCCAATGCCGTTACTTACACGAACAAGGCATTCTCACAGCAGTATGTAAGAGACTGCCTGCATACGACTAAATACCCTCATTGTACTTGTCTCATATGTATTCGGTGAACCAACCTCCGCCTCATCTTGCTACCTCCAGGCTCTAAAGAGCTCCTGGTGTATCAGAGCCCTCAGTGTCTCGAGACTGCGTTCTATGATGTACACACCCTTCAAACCGTTACGAGGGGCCCGCTCAAGACTATGGAGTCCCCCCTCCTCTGCCCTCCATCCATAACCACTTGCAGCCCTCGACCCGTCACCAACCATCAGGCAGGATTCCATCCGCCCGGCTAGCTCAATCGGTAGAGCGTGAGATTCTTAATCTCAAGGTTGTGGGTTCGACCCGTAAGCTTCACCTGCCTCATCAAAGACCTCACGAACATCATCACTAACAATAACCAGCCACGTCGGGCTCAATTCCCGTCAGCGATTGACGCAACAATTCTTTTTTTCTACCTCGCATCTTACTTTCTACACTACTCGAGGACCTCTGAAAGTGCCTTGCAGTTAGTCATTCCTCCCGCAAGGCGACCCGGCTCGATTCACCACCGCTGTATGTGTGCGGTTAGGGCTTTGGCGATTTTTGGGCAGATCCCGATCACGGGCTGGGATGTGTTAGTTGAAGGATGAGCTTATTCGGTGGGTCCATATCGATGACACTCGAAGCGTCACTGGTACCTCTCTCGTGACATTGATCGTCCTCTATGGTTGCTATCGTGAGATCTTATGTTCTAGTCAAATTCTCTCTGTATTTACGTTATGATGATTTTGACAGCGTCCGTGGTCTCGCTGGGTGGTGCCTGAGTTAATTTGGTGTGCCAAAGCGCGAAAGTGTATTTATGTTACTCGACTTGCGTCTGGTTCAAATTCGCTACCCGTATTCCGTGCATCAGAGCTCTCGACTTTGAAAGATCACTCATCGATAACTCATCTCGGTCCGTTGAGAAACCTATCGGGTTCTGTCTGACAGTGAGCTGATAATATTCGTAGAATTCGAGTATTCATTGAAGCTTTCAGACCCACTCGTCCCGAGGGCTAGGCTTGTGGAAGACGAGAAATTCTGTTTGCCCCTTTGCGATACTTCTAGACGCTATAGTCTAGTATCATACTGTATTCTGTAAATCTATGTAAGCAGAAGCCATGCTAGGTTTCTGTTTACTCCGTTGCTGTCCTTGGGTCTGTATGAGTCCTCGGTGGCCTGTCAGACCACCTACTTCTCAGGACTGAAAGCGACATCGTTAAAGACGCATAAATCAGACTCTAATCAGCTTCAAAGTAAACGTCACATATCTCTCGGATAAATGGACTGTAGAACGATGACTAGAAGGCCCAATCGTTTGCCGATGTCGCTATTTCAAATTGGCCCGGGGAGGTTCCACGCGTAGTAAGATGAATCGGGCAAGTAGACATCCGATGTTCTCTCAACCCTATGGCTATACCAACCTTTGTGTTGAGATATTTCGTCCTGGCAATTATTGGAAACAGAAGAGGATGGCGGGGATGCCAGACGTCGCTACTGACAATTATAACGTACATGACTCCAAGGATTTAGTGATCCAATAGCTCGAAATTGAAACCTGCGTGTACTTGGGCATAGACAGAAGTGAGTCGATTCACTCTCATGAGTTTTCTCTATCAGACGCAAACACTGAACAGGGCCGCTCTTTACTGCTTATAGAAGACGAGTGTCCTACGTTTGTCTCCGGTAGGACTATCCATCCGTTGATGATGTGGTTATACACACTCCGAGAAGGCCGACCGCGAGAAAGATAGCTATCAAGTTGAGAGGCTCTACTATTCACATCATTCAAGCAAATACTTATAGCGACCTAGCCAGATATAGCAGGTCGACCTTTGAAAACAGCTTTAAGAGGAGCCAGAGATAGTATTAGGAGAACACCACGATATGAAAACGTTTAGCAAATAAGTTTGACGCTCAGTTTGGCATGCGTAGCAGCGATTTTGCTGATGGACCGAGAAAGATATTCTCAAGACGAAACGACTGCCTCAACACGCGCCTATCAAGAGCACACCCTTCTTCACTCAGGCAGCCGCATCTCCGAGCAACCGCATCTCCAAGCATAGGCATCGCAGTGGAACGAAGAGAGTCATACCATGCCTGTATGCTTCGTTTTAAGGAGCACAACTGTCCACGGAACTCCTCCATCAACACGATTCAGGCATGATTCGTGCGCCTTAGCAGATTGAAGTAACCGTTTCCGTTGCAGCAGTTCGCAATTATCCTGCTCCTGCCGCAACCACAGCCGAGTTCCAGCCAGGTTTGAGATCTCCCCCCCCCCACCCCCTAGGCCCCTTGAATTTCACCGTCAACAATCCAACAAACACAGGCAGGCCGGATTCAGAACCGTGTCAGTCACAATCGGAACGGACGCTCAGTGCGTTTCTCACGCGATCAGGAGGGCAGACGCGCGCCTACTGCCCAACAACGACCACCCAGCGCCCCGGACCCGGATCCAGGGAGAATATTTCCCTTTGCCTAACTCTCAGCTGGACATGATCGCACGCTCTCAGCTGACCAGACTGGCTCGACGGGCATTGACCAGGACTTCACTATACGACCGCAATACCGCACTCGCAGCCTTCAAGCAAGGTCGACCCCTCCAAAGGAACTGGGAACTAAATGGTTCCCCCCGCAATATTCCAAAGTGAGACCGTGAGACGGTATTGCTGACGTGCGTGAAAGGATCATCGAACCCGGGCAACGATGTCACCATGGGGGGTGTTGCGGTAGTCGGTACTGCCGCGCCGGAAGGCCGCGCATACTCCCACAACGTCCCTCCCGAGATGAGGAAGCCGAAAGTATAATACATTACACACGCAGACGCAGTCGCACTTTTTTCTCTTGATTTCCTTTATATTGGGGGTGGTTTTTTTCTCCCATCAGCGCCGCTTTTTCAGTACTCGTATTGGATACCCGTGAAGAATCCGAGGCCTTGTGTTTTGCAACTGCTCTTTCATCACTGATCATATCTGGCGATGGAGACGCTCAATCTGTACAGATAGCTACGTGCAAATCCAGAACCGCCGGAGTTGGCCGGTCCCAAGAGGGCAGAGATGCTGCCGTATCGGTATCCGAGGGGGGTGGTGACAGAATCCGAAACAAGGGCCGCCAGGATAGATTGAAGAATCGTAGAACGGTTAGTCCAAGACAGCAAAAACACAGGAAGGAAGAAAAGCAAGCAACGCTGCATTACCTCGCCCTCAGCAACGGAGTACTCCTGGAAGGTTTCAATAAGTCTGATCCCGGGCCGTCGGACTCCTACAGAGTTTCCAACCGTCTCCAGAAAAACTGGAGTTGCAATCTAATCGACCGAGTCATGAGCCAGTTCGTGTCAGGTTTCTTATTCTGCAAAGGCCTCTCTCCCTCTTTTCACTGGGTGAAAAAAACAAAACCCCCCCTTGTCTTGGCGCGGCTGGGCCAGCTGCTGCTCTCTCTCTCTCTCGATTTCGATTTCGTGTTGTCGTTGAAGATTATTGAAGATTACCGTGGGGAAGGTAGAGGGGGGCCCTGAACAACCTGGCGTGCATTTGTCGTTGGTCGTTGGAGCCAGACCCGACCGCCACCGCTTACTTCCAGAACCCGAGTCCGACCGGGCCGGGAAATCGTAGCCGTTGACGGCCGGGGGCTTTTTGCTTTGTGTGTTTTGATCGGCGGCCCTTTAGAAAATTGCCCAAACAATAAGCGATGAGAACGAACAAAGAGACCGTTGTTGAAATTGAATGGGCAGGTGCAATTTTGATACACAATGAAATCAAAGTAGCAAAACGTCACCTAGCTTCACTGAGGGAATTGTAGCTGCCAAGCTGCAGGATCGTTATTGTGGTTGCAGACCCATGCGCATCTTGGTCAACAGAAGGGACTCAGCCGAAACAGTGTGCTGGGAGGCGTGGTAGGGCGGGCGGTTGTGCCTGAAAATCCCACCTGTTCACATCAGACAAGCTGCGGCCGTCCCATGACAGCTGCAAGGTTATCTGATCGGCATCGCACCTATCTCACCTTACTTACCCCAAGGTGATCGACATGTCACAGAAATTCAGTTGCACCATGGGCAAAAAGACACAGTATTGTAAAAAGTTGTTTTCTTTTTTCTCTAGAAACAGACTGAATCGTTCTCTCTCACATTATCAACTAGAAAGGTATCAACCCGTCCCTCGTGATCATCCACGTCCACGGGGACACTGGTATCGAAAACACAGGAAAACGCCATGTGCGGGGGAGCCCATTTCCTCAAGGTGGTAATGACACGGATGTTCCGAGTCCATTAGCCTTGAAGCCGTGTCACCCGTCTTTTTATCCATTCATGACCAAATATGCACGTTGAAACCCAAAACCAAGCCCAATGCAGTTTTAACAGATGTAGTGTATCCGAGTAAATGCTGCAACAAGGGTTGCTTAGAGAAGGGCAGCAACGGCGAGACCACCGAGGACAGCAAAGATACCAGCGGTGGCCTGGGCACCAGCGGCAACACCAGTAACGGTGGCAATAGCAGAGCGGGTAGCAGTGCCGGTGCTGTTGGTGGCAGGGCGGGTGGCGCTGGTGATGGTGGAGGCAGAAGCGCTCAGGGTAGCGGGGGTCGGGACGGCAGTGGTGGAAAGAGCGGTGGTGGAGTTGACAATGACGCTCTCAGACTTGGTGACGGAGGCAGAAGCAGAAGCCGAGGCGGAGGCGGAGGCGGAGGCAATGGCGGTAGGAGTGACCGAAACGCTGGCAGCGGACAGGGTGACGGTAGCAGTGGCGGAAGAGGAGACGACGGTGGTGGTGCCAGAGGCAGCGCCCTCACCAGCAATGATGTGGAAAGGGTTGGAGTACTGGAAGTCGACGGTAGGGTTGGACTCAGACTTGACAACCAGGCCGTAGAAGGCGTCCTTGCCGAGAGTGCTGGGAATGGTCCAGGTGTACTTTCCAGCAGAGTTGGCGATGCCGGCTGAGAGCGTGTTAGTTCTCCTTCCTCATCTCATCGCGAATTGGCCGTCGGGAGAATGGGAGATATGTCCGTCTCGTCCCGTACAGCCAGGAGATTTGTATACTTACAGGCAATGTCCAAAAGAGGAACCTGGGTGTTCTGGGTAGCACCACCAATCAGGCTGATGGAGACGGTGACGTCCTTGAAGGCATCGGGGGCAGTCCACTCGATGGTGTACGAGGTGCCAGCGTTGATCTGCTCGTTGGGGGTGGGCTTCGTGACGGGGTCGAAGTTGGCGTTCTGGGCCAGGGCGGAGGCAGCAAAGGCCAGGAAGGCAGCGGCAGAGATCTTGAACTGCATTTTGAATTGAGTCGACGAGGTCGTTGGGTGTTGGAGAGGTTGTTGATTAGAAGTTAGGTCTAAAATAAAAAAGACGGAAAAAGTCCAGGAACGAGCGACTGGAAGGTAGAAAGTGAGAAGGTTGGTTTGGAAAAAGGGAGAATGAGATGTCTTTGTGACGGGTTAATGAGTGACTATATTTAAAAGAGTGACAGGCTGAAGCCAGATGATGAGACGCACAACGGCACGGGGTAAAGTGACTGGGACTTGGGTTGATGGTAAGGAGGGAAAGAGGAAAGAGAAGGGAAGAGCAGACGACGACAGGAGGGATAGGAAAAGAAGAGGAGGTGAGGTGAGCATGACCCCTGTTAGCCCAGCACCCAGCACCCAGCACCCCGAGGGTGAGGGTGAAGCCTTGAGGTGAGGTGAGTGCTCCGGGCGCGCGGCAAGGGGGTTGCAAGGCAATGGCCCGTGGCTTCCTCCTCTTCCATGGTCTGGGGGGGTCCATTGACATTGACGTTCAGAGAAAATACCAGGTTCTACGGGTACAGAGAGGAGGGGGGCATCCTGACCCAATTGGGCAAGGTACACACGATGGCCTCATGGGCATCACATTGGGAGGGAGTGAAAACCTGGAGAGGCACAGGCACAGGCACAGGCTGTGATGAAGTGAGGCACAGAAGGGGGAAGCGCAGCGAAGTTGGGCGTAATGTTCCCGCCGTCTGGTGAAGTTGTGCATGCCATCGTCGCAATTGTCAACTGCGCCGCCGACAGCGCAGACATGGGTGTGGAAATTAAAGACGAGATTACCCCGTTCTGATTGGGTGGGACCACATAAACCAGGGGGTGTGGACCATTGAATTTCCCTGGCGCAGGTACCTAGGGCCTAGAGGCAGGCACCTCCTTCCCGACTCCAACTTCTCCACTCATGTAAGACGGGTACGTACCTGCACCCCGAGGAAGCACCAGTGACCACCCAACCTCAGTTGAAGCTGTCCATGCTTTTTCCATCTCCATCCGTCTGACTGCGGTATGAAGCGCGTAGATTTCCCACCGCCAACTCGTCCAGCTGCAGCCTGACGGCATTACATACACTATTGGCGTCTTCTGCAAGAGGAGTGCCACTGGGTACCACAATGCGGTGCGGATGCTTCTCCCAATTGCAAAGTAACTTTTCCACTCAGTGCAAGGAACAGATCACAACCGAACAGGGCTGAGCCAACGCGCTTTCCGCTTCCTGCTCAGTGGACCGCGATTTCACACAATGAAGCGGCCCGCGCAGTACTTCCCAGGTCACCCACTCGTCCCATTCCAGGGGTTTGTCGAGACGGCGAGATCTCCCGCAACCCACTTGCCTCCGAAGGTGTTCCCATTCGCAGGCGGACACTTTTCTTTTTTTTCTAGTCCAGTGGTTCGCCTCAAGGCAACAGTACCACCTGTCGAGGCAACCAAAGCTTTCGACAACTCGAATTCGCTTCGTCTTGCAACTCTTGCTCACACCCACATCGAAATACCCCCTTGTTACGGATACTCACTCATCTCGAGCGAGGCCTCGAAACGGCATGGCTACGTTCCCCAACAGCCGGTATAGGGCGGAACCTAAGCTCTACGGAGTAGAAACTTGGATACAAACATCAAGCCTCGAGTGCCACTTCACGCACAAGGCCAGCCTAGCCTAGGCCGCCAACAAGAGCCAAGTTTCGGACATGGCGTGCTAGCCAAGGTACATCGAGGAAGAGATGCTTCGAGGCGGGGCATTGACTTGACCTCCAACCAAGACAAGCTGGAAGAACCCAGACGGCGTTACGGCCAGCAGTTCCAAGTTCTAACCGCAAAATCAACACTCACAGGGAAAGGTACATAGCCTCACCCACATACCTCTATGCTCTAGCGGTCTCGCCCCTCGAGGGAATTTCACCGGCCATCTCTCCGTATGGAAGGTCAACAAACCCGCCGTGCTGACATGAACGCTCATTCTAATCCAATTTCCAGCAGTCATTGTTGATGGTGTCTCGCTCCGATGAGCCCACACATGGCTCAGATGATGCGACGTTATGCTACAGCATGTTCCATTCACTGACGAGAGAGCGTTTAAGCTAATTAATTACCTTAACGGGGATCTGGAAATAGGCACCGCTGATTGCTCACCTACCTAGTTCGCAGCTCTCCGCCGGTACGTACCGAATGACACGGCGCAGAAGCCACGGCCAATGCAAGGAACGTGGAAACGGTTCATGGGGACCGTCTGACTTGGCACCAGCCGCTGCCGCCAACTTCTCATCCTCCAGCTTTCGCCCACACATATGCCATCCACCTGTCACCAGTCCGTCTCTCTTCCGTCTCCTTTTCACCGCAGTCCGCCGTCTAGCACTACCGTCGGCCTGGCGTCAAAGCGGCCACTTAAAATTTTACCATGCCGCATCCTCTAGTCTGTGCTACTCTGGTAGTCAGCCAGGGGTACGGAGTAGAGACGTTGGAGATCCCCCCGAAGTGACGATACATCATGCACAAAAAGATCTTTTGTGTCCTCGGCCCTTCCAGAACCTTACGAAGGAGCGACACTAGCTGCCAAGCGAGAGCATAGGTACTCACAATCCAGCGAGAAAATTCGAATCAATAATCTGTCCGGTTGACCCATCTTGACTTGCAGTCGGAAACCTGTTGCCACCTCCAACTGGCATTGCGAGTTAATTCACTTCACAGATGAAGCGGATCCGACCTAATCAACTCCTGAACGAAGTATCCTATGTGAGATGTCGCAATCACGGAACACAAGACACCCTCCCCCGCTGGCAGTTGCCTTTCAACCCCTGCTCGCACCGCTTGGAGATATTCATTCCCACGCCGATGACGACTCACCCCCGTGTACGCGGAATCTGAGGATATCGTGGACCTGGGGGCCGCATCTTGAAGTGAGGACTCATAACGAATAAGCGGACTGGGCCTCAGCCCCCCCCCCCCCCCCCCCCCATCCAGTAAACCCAAAGTCATCGGCGTTGGACAAGCTGCTCCTATCAAGACTTCGGACAGAAGCCGAACAGACGCCGTGAAGTTGAAATCGGCTTTCTCGTAGCTTTGCGAAAACACCATCTCTTCTCATATGATGGCCCAATTGCGCACCTCAGCCTTCGCAATGACTTTCAGCTTGCAGTCTTCCGCCTCGTCTCTGCATAATCCGATGTTCTGCATTCACCACCGCCACAACCCAATTTTGGACCCGAGGAACGACTCGTCCGACGCATCGGGTCGGCCATCAGCAAGGTCCCCATCGCTTGCGTCCCTTGTCAGAGTTTCAACACCAAACTCTATTACCCATAGTCACCGACCCAGCAAGCGATACCCTTCCGCAACGAGTCGTAAACCGTGGATCCCAAGTTATGGAGGCATTGACTGCCAGGACATCTGAAGCCGAAAAGCCCCTTGACCTGCCACTATTCGTATACATACAAGCAACGTCATGAGCCAATGACAGCAAATTCAAAAGCGACAGAAATAGTCTCTGCAAAGGTGGGCTCGCGCATATCTAACTGAGGCCATTTTCAAAGACACCCAGCCCTGGCAAACGCATGTTGGGCAGTGGTCCTTGTTGCACACTTGACAACCGTTGACGAGTTTGCTTTTTCTCTGCAACTCTACGATGCAGTCAGCTTGCCTAGCAGCTCGAATACGGCCGAGGACAGACCACTGGTTTTTCGGCTATCTGCAGTCAAGTGGCACAGCGATGGCGCTCACTGCGAGATCTGGTGTCACGAGGCCGCCCTTTTGCATCACAGGTAGTGTGGGCTGCCGTCCTTTTCCTGCGACAATGCAGGCAGTGCTAGGCGAGCAAGCTTCACATGCGCGTAGTGGTGCCACGATATCGGGGCTCTCGCACAACGTTGCTGTCATTCAATGACTCCCGAGTGACGGTGAGGGAGGGTGTTGCATCGTGGTCAACACGAGTCAACCTTGTCAGCTTCCTGCAGGTTGATACTTCGGTTGCGACACGAAAAGCGACACCAAAAAGCCTTTTATTGAATGCACCTCAGCCCTAAGCCAACTTGCGACGCCCGAAAGAGGGCATTCAGGCAAAGCTGGGCACGTCTGGGCAAGCACGGTACTTTATCCCGCCTCCGTGAGAGAAAAGCGTAAGCTAGCCCACTGCCGATGAAGAGAAGCAATCGTCAGGACCGTCGCATTCTTGACTCTCGCCCTTTCGCGGTTTCAAGGCCAGACAAGTTATGAGCCGGGTCTCGACCGTTGGAATGCCCTGCTCATAGTGAGAAGCGCTATCACTAGCGTCAAGCCATGGCCGGATTTGGGATGTTTTTCTTATTCGCACTTTTTGATGTCATCATCTGCACGAAGAATGCGCGTGGGAGTGAGTGCCGCCCAGGATCATCTAGGTAAGGTAGGTTGGTCACGCGCCTGAAATCCATTGCCCCCGATCTCTAACCCGGTGCGCCGTCTCTGGGCGGAGGTCCATGGAGCGGGAGGAGGCGGGAGTGGGACCGGCCGGCCTCTGCCGGTGCGGAGCGCGATGCATGGCCTCCCGCCCGTCATTTTGACTCCCGCTCTTTTTCTTGAGCAATCCGATAAAGCCCGAAAGACTGTCTTGCCCAAGTCGAATTGCGCTCTTGGGAGAGAACGTAGATACCCTACCTAACGGGCTTGCGACATTTGTGAACCTAGAGACCTGTGTCACCAGAAGCTTCGCCCTGCGGTGCGGAGTAATACGCACCACACCACGTGACCTATATGTTCCGATGCGTCCGGGTGGAAGCGCAACGTCCCGCCTCGAATGTAGAACCTTGTAGAAGCTGCTCGTACTCTGTGACCAAGTCAATCACTTGTCTACTGTAGGAAACCCAGCTGTCGTGAATAGCATCATTTGCGCCCAAGATATAAAGTCCCACTCCCACCCTGGAAGCACTTACACGCCCATACCCTCTTTGAGAACCCGATACCTCACATACAGTACCCTTTCTGACCCATTTTCCATCTCCAGCACCCATCCTAAATATCCTACTACATCCTCCAAAGTCAACCTTCAACTTCAGTCATCATCAAAATGGCCTCCACACCAGTCACAGAATTCATAACCTTGACCTTCAAAAACCACACCACCACCTCCCAACCCCCCGCAGCCTGGTCCGACGTAACCTCAACCCTCAAATCCGTCCCCGGCGTAAACGCCCTCTACACGGGCCCCCAGCTCGAAGATCCATCCAAAACAGTCCTGGTCATCGAATGGGCCTCCTCCGACGCCTTCTCCGCCTTCGCGTCGTCAGAGGCCTACATGCCCTGGTTCGCCTCCCTCAAAGCCATCGTCTCCGCGTCGCCCGTCTTCTACAAGGTGCCCCTCTCGGCGGATCCGTCCTCCGACGCGGCCTCGGTCCTGCGCGCGCCGTGCACAGAGGTCTTTGTCGCGTACGGCGTCGAGCCCGAGTTTGCGCGCAAGACGGCCGAGTTCGCTCAAGGGTTGACGGAGGGAAGGGCGGACGTCGTCGGGTTCCACGGGCACGCGTACGGCGAGATCTCGACGCCGCTTGCCGTGGACGCCTCTGGAGGGGACGGGGAGAAGGGCCCTGCTGTGACGCTTTTGTTGGGATGGGATAGTAAGCAGGCTCATCTTGACGCCAAAGCCAAGGCTGGACGTAAGTTTGCTCCCGCTTCCTCTTCTCTGTATCCGTAGTATTCTTTACGCAGGCTCGAGTACGAAAGCTGACTGGTGTATTTGCAGCTATTTCTGATAACATTCACTTGCTGAGATCAGGCCGCAAGGACATTTCAATGGTACGTTGTCAGGGCCCTCGACATGTCTGTCATGTCTCCATCACTTACTGACAATGTACAGTATCACGTGGAATTGAAGCAAATCTGAAAACTATGTATACCTAATGCTAGCGCTATGGAAAGGTTTGTTCTTTGAAAGAAGAAAGCTACGAGGATGGGATGAATACGATTACATACTGTACCTTGAGATGGGACTATGATGAGACGAGACGTGTAATATAGTTTTGGTACCCCAATCACCGGCCACAAATATCCAGTGGACTTGCCTTGTGTGATTTGCTTCTGATCCGAGGCTGGACTCCTGCGCGTCATCAGCACGTGCAAGTCAGATATCAATACTTGCCCGTCTACTACATCCATCCCCCTGGATGGCGGCTTGTGTATGCGACTCACCCCCCAGCCGACAAACTTTGTCAATGTCGCCTTCGTTCGATGCCTATTGGAAGTCGATTAGCAATCTCATTCTCGCGTAGTCAAACTATCAGTGTCCATGGTGATCTCGTCTCCTCCGCCAAGGCGCGGGCAAGGAAAGCAGTCGATCTGCGCCCCAACAGGATGATATCCGCGCGTGTCATACGGCAGGTAGAGAGAATGTAGTAGGGCAGAGTGCACGGATGTATGTGGTAAATTTGATCAGGGCGATGTTGGGGAACGGGTCACGAGATTCTAGGGGTCAAGGCTATCATATGCGTCAGGGCTGTGTAGGTGAGGGTGATAGGACGACAAGCAGGGCCGGACAGGGCGACGACCGATGGGGCGCGCAATGGTGATGGTGAAGAGATTGGGCAAGGAGTCAAGATGTGCTGGAGAATGGATGAAGTAAAAGAGAGTAGTGCACTATTAAAAGTAGTACCTCCTCTAAAAGCACCTTTGATCTGCCGAAGCTGATCGAGACCTGTCCCCCTTTCCAGATGTAGCCGGGGTCTCGCGGCGTAGATGTTGCCAGAGACCAGTCCGATATCCCCCAAACACGGCGATGATGTTTCGCAAAAGAAAAGAAACTGTGCCATTCCGCCCGAAATTTTGGTTTGCCGAACTAAAATTTGATAGTCAGTCAGTAAAGTCATGAACGTCGTCAACGTTAAATCCGGTGTTTTTCCGATTCTGTTGCATTTGTTAGCACTCTTGGCCGACCCGGCTGACCTTCTCCCCAGTCTGCTTACCGAGACGAGAGTAGAGCATGTAAAGCGCCATCCTGTTGCACTCCTCTGTGCCCGTGATTGTGACCAGCCGTTCGTTGCTGTTGTCTTGCGGCTCGTTGATCTTAATCACACTACCGCTGATCTGGCGTATTTCATTGATCTTTTGCCCGCCCTTTCCGATGATGGCTCCAACCATGTCGTTGGGGATGTAGATCTGCTGGGTCAAGGGCGCGCCTGGCATAGCTCCTCCAGGGACGGGCTGAGCTGGGTGAGCGCCGTGAGGTTGAGGCATGGCAGCACCGGCATGAGGTTGCATAGGAGCAGCGGCGCCATAGCCGCCAGCCTGCGCCGCACCGTAGTGGATGGGCATGGCCGGGTTGGGCTGGGCTGCCTGGTGAGGGTACGGCTGCGCGCCGTACGGAGCAGCTGGCAGGCCGTGATGTTGGGCGCGAGCGTCGTGTCTGCGGTTGTAGTTATCACGGTTACCGTAGTTGCCGGTGGTTGGCTGCGGGCTGTACGGGACAACTTGCATGCCGCCGGGGACGACACCAGCAGGGCCACCACTCCTTGTCGCATACGCAGAGGCAGCGGGGCCACCGAACCGGTCGTTCAATTGCTCGAGCAGGGTGCTGCCAACGTAGTATGTTGCAATGTGAACCGCATCAGCGACGCCCATGACCACCAACGAACGCTCGGTGGACAGAGGCAGGCAAGAGTCCGACGCGTTAAGCCTAGCACCAGAAGCCTCCTGGATCTCGCGGATACGCGCTCCACCCTTTCCGATGATGGAACCGATCAAGATGTGAGGGATGAGCAAGCGCAGAGGGTACGTCTTCGACTGGGCGCTGGATGGCTCGGCCAGAGGCTCGTTGTTGAGAGTCCGAATGATGAGACCGAAGGCCTATTCGACTGGGTTAGCTGGGACCTCTTTGGGCAAGAGCGATTGAGTTACAAACCTTTGCAGCGGCATCGACAACGCCGCTAACGGTCAAGATGCGCTCAACGGCCCCCTTTTGGTAGTCGCTGACGGTGCACTTCGCGCCCGACATCTTGCGAATGTTGGAGACGTTTTCTCCACCCTTTCCAATGACGGTCGCAGCTTCCGGGCTGGAAATGACAGCGCGAATGTGAATCCAATCTCTCTCATCGTGACTTGCCGAGGGCGTGGACGTGGCAGGAACGGAGCCGGCAACGGAGCTCTGGATAGGCTTCGTCTCGGAACCTTCGGCGCCCTCGTCAGCCGTCTCAGACTTCGCATCAGCGCCGTTCGTCTTGTCGGCGCCGTTCGCATCCGTAGTTGGGATGGTAGTGGCATCGAGCGGCTGGGCCATCTCAACCTCCTCATCACTCTTGAGTATCTTGTCCAAGGCCGGTCGCTTCGCGTCGGGCTGGTCGTTGCTACGCGAAGGGGACGAGGTCTCCTCGAGGGGGCGCTTTGCCGAGTTGGCGGGTTGGGTAGGCGACGCGGACATGATGGGCTAGTTGTTAATGTCTCACACAAGTTTTCGCAATTCCGTGTAGGTTCAAGAAGAGCTTGTATTCGACTATCTACACCACAACGGTTTTCTAAGGAAAACGGGCTGGTGTAGTGGCGTAGTCGGGATCGGGTTCAGAGAATGTCTCTTCGGTGAAGTGGCTTTGATCGTGCAGGATGAAAGGTCGTAGGGCAGGCAGATCGTGAAGTTGAAATATCGGGATGTGGGTTCAGGATGACTCCTATCCTATCAGGTTCGAGGTGACTTCCGAAATCGTGAGGATCGCAAAGATACTCAGGTCAAGCGGAGGGAAGGCGAGGCTGTGCGAGGCTGGGCGATGAGGCAGCGGACGGGCAGGAAGAAGGTGGATGATGGAAAAGAGGTAAAGAAGGCGGGAGGGAAGGAGCTGATGATAGACAAAGGTTGTATCTGGGAGGCGATTCGGATGCAGAAGCTCAAACCTTTCTTCCGTCAAACGAACAGTCCAAGCTGCGATGTATCGCGACGTGATGTCAAGTCTGCAAGCAGAGCTTTGATATTTCCTTCCGTGCTGTGTCTTGTCTCGTTGAAGCTTCTCAAGCTGCTAAGCAACAAAACGAAGATGGCAACGCGCCGACGGTCGAGCCAGAGTAGGTAGACCTGGATAGCTTCGGAGGCGACACGTGAGAGGAAAGCGAAACTGGGGACCGATGCGCTGCGCCGTTGGAAAAAACACAACCCACCAAAAGCTTTCGACAAACGGGGGGAGGAACGAAGAGGCGAGTCGGTGATTAAAAGAGATGGGGGAGAGAAAACCGTGCAGGGCAAACAGATGAGTTGGAAGGGGGTTCCGGATGTCTCGAAGAGGTTTGAGAAACGGGATGGGAAGGCAAGATATTCTCACGCTTTCTCCTCAGAACAAGCAGCGCAAGTGCCAGCGCGGCGCCAATGCCAGGAGCCCATCAGTGCCCGCCCGGGGGGGCAAGGGCCAGTACAGTGCCCTAGAAGATTACATAGTCTCCACAATGATGCAGCCAGTGCCTTTGCCTCATTTACCTCCATATGTCTCCACGCTGCGCCAGAAACAGAGGATCCACACAGTGAGAGATGATGCTCACCGGCAGATTAAGCAACATGGGGGAGAAGGTGGTGGCCCCCGCTCCGGAGGTGCCTAACGTACCTACCTACGGCAGCGTGCGCAGCCAGCTAGCTTATAGGTAGTCCTTCCTACCTTGTGCTCTACGGAGTACTTTCGTACCTATACGCAGTACAGCACTCCGTACCTAGCTGTGCTGGGGATGTTTCATTGGGTAGATCCATGCAGCAAGCCGCACAGTGTTTGCCATTTCGTGCGCATTTTCTCCGTACATCTCCCGCAGACTAATTGACCAAAGGGAATAAAAAAAGTGTGGGAGCGGATGGAAGCTGTGCCTTGCGCCTTGCGACCGACCCTGCCTTCAACGCGGTGCTTTGCATTGTTTCCAATGCAAGGGGATGCTCAGCACCAACACGCCTTTTGCACACCATACTTCCTACACAAACCGACCCTGCACAACGTCACGTCACGTCCCGTCGTCTATGTTAGAGAGGCATCAGTTGCTTTACGACAGGTTTCCACATCGAATCCAGTATTGTCCTGGCGGATAGCCGCAGCTCTGCCGACGACGGTACCGCTTTCTTCTTTAGTACACTTTACCGAATCGGGAATTGCAGTTGACAGCGCGCCAGACTGCTTGACAGTCAAGACAGAGCCATCATCTGTGCAAGTCGCGGGCTGTCTGCGCCCCCGGAAATCTCGATAGCGTCCGACACACAGTGACACCTCGTATGAAACAAGCAGAGACGATCTAGCGCCGAACACGCCTTATTTTTTTTTTCTGACAGGGATCGAATCGGACGCTCGACACCATTGGATGTGCCCGGTGCTCCGACGGGCCGTGTGCTTTAGGACGGATCGAAGACCTGCGCGTGCTGCCGTTGCTTGAACTGTTTCGTTTCCTCCGGGAAACCCTCTCCAAGTCGCGTGCGCTACGGAGTGTTGTGTATCTGATATTTGCACCGTGTCGCCAAACCATCAGATTGTTTGGCCTGAATCAAGGACATACAACAACGACAACAACACACTTCAGTCTCTGTCTTTGAGCGACCACATTTCAGCACGACATGGACGAATCACCCCACCCCGTCAGTGATAGGTATACCTTGAGCCTGGATCAAAGCTTGCAAGAACTGCAAGAAAAGATTAACCAACACCGGGAAGAGCTTGCAGCGGTATGCAGCCCATCTTATGCTCATTGAGTGCTGTTAGTTAATACGTGAACAGCTTCAACGAAATGCCAACTCGAGGCAGAATGGATCCGGACCAGGGAGAGAACCTTATGAAGTCATGAGAGGCGCCTTCGAGCAAGTTGCTAGCACACCTCCATTCGTACCTTTCTCGGAATCCGTTTTACCCGCGCTACTGGCCTTGCGAACGACTCATCAGACCGTTCTTGAATCCCGAGCCTATCTGACCAGTCAAGGAGCCACTTTTGATCAGGCCAAAGGAAGGCTCGAGGTTGAGCAAGCGAGCTTGACTGACCAACAAACCCTTCAGCAGAGATTGGAGAAGCGAATTCAGTCTCTCAAAGACGAGGCCGAATCTCGGATGGAATTAACGCCTGAACGAGCAGCCAAGGAAAGACTGGACGAACTGAGGCAGAAGAAGAAGCGTTACGACAGAGAGACGACTAAGCTACTCAAAGCTTTGAGAAACTTCATTGACGGTCATCTTGGAAGTCAACTAGCTGCCGAAGACCTCGGTGGACCCGTCGTGGGAGACATGATGGAAATTGACTCGGATCAACTCGGCGCTGGTTTCAATGCCCAGGGCCGACCAGTCAAGGTCAAATCCAAGGTGGACGAGGATAAACGACAACGACGCCTCGAAGAAGTTTGGGGTCTACCTCAGGAGGATGCAGGCCGAGAACAAGGCAATGCGGACGAAGCAGCGGCTGCTGGTCGCGAGATGCGCGACCTTACAGAACAGCTTCTAAACCAACATGCAGAAGCAGCTGGCGACAGCACCGCGGCGTATGTTAAGTTATCAAAGGAAACAGCAGCGGCGCGATTCCTCGTCAGGTCCAAGGTCGCTCAATTCCATCCTCGGGACGCGACGAGGCTCAAGCTCATTGATTTTGGAAGAGAGCTGGACGACTAGCAGGGCTTGATCTGCCGCACATCCGTGCGAGTGCAACTGCGACGCAGTCGGCGCAGATCCCCCGTGTGGAGATGGCCAACCAGGCTATCAAATTGAATTTTTCTCGTGATAGCTTGTCTACCCTGGGCCTTGCAATGTCAGAGAAAAGCTCCTGTTGTTAAGCGTCGAGTCTCTTGACTCAGGGCGCGCAGTTCTAATAGGCTCGCTGAGGCTGTCACAGTGCGCGCTCTTTTTCGATAGTGCGTCACAGTGTCTGCGATTGACTCTACACTTGCCTCCGGATCTGGATAAAACGGAAAAAAAAGTTGGTGTCCAGGTTAGGAACTTGGCGTACGAAGTGTGCGTCTGAAGCATCTCCTTTGGCCCTGATCAATGCAAGAAATGAGTACGAATGTATGGACAGACTTTTGAGCTGTCGAGTCTGTTACTGAGGAGGGGTTCGCAAGGCAACTCTGAGGCTATCTGATTCTCGTGCAAGAGATCATCGCAAGATGAATGAACTCTGCCGTGCCATGAGGTATCTTTTGCCCTTGCATGCTACCTTATGTCGGATGACGATCTCGTCATAGTAGTACGAAGTGCCTTCTGCGTAAATGGGCATTTGCTACCTCCAATTCTGATTGGCCAATTGCTCACCCGCGTCCTGACGCGTCTCCCGCGACACCGCCAGAGTGCAGCCGGGGGGTCCCACTCCAAGAAAGCTCCAGAATACGTAGCAAGCACCCAGCTTGTAGATTCAAAGAAGCAAAGCCTCAACCTCTGTTCCCCGCACTTCGCTCCAAGACTCAAACGGCGAAAGGTAAACTCTCGTCAGACATTCCCTAACGCTTTATTCGACCCCCAAACATGACCTCTTCTGAACCCGTCGCCGCACAGCAGCAGCAGTCCGATCCTCCCGCCAAGCGAGTCAAGACCTCCTCCAACGACGCTCCCGTCCCCGCCGCCATGGAGCCCTGCCCGCCTCTCCAGATCAAGAAGCTCTCCGACAAGGCTCGCCTGCCGACCCGCGGCAGCTTGTTCGCCGCCGGCTACGACCTCTACGCCGCAAAGGTCACAACCATCCCGGCCCGCGGCAAGGCCATGGTCGACACCGACATTGCCATCTCCGTCCCCGCTGGCACCTGTACGTGATAAGTCCTTCTACCGTTCATAGCTAGCTCTCGTAAAGCTTGAGCTCCCAACACCGATCATAATCGTAGGCCATGGTATACTCTACTGACCACACTGTGTATGACAGACGGCCGCGTCGCCCCCCGCTCCGGCCTCGCCTCCAAGAACTTCATCGACACGGGCGCCGGCGTCATCGACGCCGACTACCGCGGCCAGGTCAAGGTCCTCCTCTTCAACCACGCCGACACGGACTTTGAGGTCGCCGAGGGCGACCGCATCGCCCAGCTCATCATTGAGCGCATCTTCACCCCCGAGGTCGTCGAGGTCGCCGAGCTCAAGGAGAGCGTGCGCGGCGCTGGCGGGTTCGGCAGCACCGGTGTCTCTCTTGCGCAGTAGATACGGTGATATTTGGTTAGATTCAAGAAGCGGCCTGGGGCGGTGACGCAGTCAATGCGGATCACATCACCGTACAAAAGTTGTGGTTTTCTTATAGAACCGGAGAAATGGATGAATAATGACAAATGCTACGACCACCATGATGTGCCTTTTTATTCCCAATTACGCACGCCGTCTCTCCATGCAGGTGACATATATCTCCGCCATCTAAACGCGCTTACTTTGCAAATCTACGAAACAGCAAAAAAAAAACAAAAAAAACACACAGACAAGCGCCTCTCCGAAACGAAACATACCTCTATACGTCTTTCTTTCTCTCTTCCCCCCCCCCCCCCCCCCCCCCCCCATCCCAAAGAAGTTCGGTCCCTACCCCCCCTTACCCCTATTCTCCAGGGCCACCGTCTACAGCCTCCTCGCCCGCAACTCCACAGTCGGCTCCCGCAAGCTCGCAAGGTTCCTCACGAGCTTCAGCTCGGCGCTCTTGCTCTTGAGCAGGTGAAGCCTCGTCCTCCCTTCCTCCGTCTCGGCCAAGGCCTCGTCCCCGCCCGCGGCCGCGACGACCTCGTGCATCCCGCGCGCCGTCTGTGTGAGGACCTCGTGCATGCTCGCCAGCACCATCTCCGCCGCCTTGGCGAGGGGCAGGTCCAGCGCGTCGACGTCGTCGCCGCTGAGCCATGATTCGCGGTCCTTGAGCTGCTGCTGCCCCTCGCTGACGCTGGCGCTGGTGCTGGTGCTGGCGGCGATGACGGCCTCGCGAATGCGCACCGTCATGAGGGCGGCAAACATGTCGCCCGTGCCGGAGAAGTAGGCGTCGATGGCGGGGAAGACAATCTTGAAGAGGCGGGGCTCGCCGGTGGAGGGCGACATGCTGGAGCCGACGACGGAGAGGTGGGAGGGCGGGTGGTCGGGCGAGGCGAGGGAGACGGAGGTGATTACGACGTGGGGGATGCGGTACTTTGTGTGCAGGGCGCGGATGGCGGTTTGGAGCGTCTGCATGTCGGTGATTTTGACGCCTGAGAGGAGCCTTGGTTTTTCGAGTCAGTGTTTGCGTGTGGGAAGAAAGAAGATGCCGTTTTTTTTTTCTTCGTCATAAGATGGGTATGGAGCTATGCGTAGACGACCGAGGCGTCACTATGTCTGGCCATTATGCCAGAAAAGGGGGGAAAGGGGGAAGGGGGAAGGGAGGATAGAAACATACTCGGCCTCAAACTGGTTGGGGAGAATCAAGTCGGCGTGCTCGACGAGGCTCTGATACGCGGGCACGACCTCCTCGGCGACGTACAGCTTCCCGTTGTCGCCCATGACGGGGTCCAGGACCCAGAAGAAGCCGCCCGGCGTCCCCGCGGCGGCCTGCTTCCGCTTGAGCTCCTTTGCGATGTCGCCCACGGCCACGACGGCCTCGGCGCCGGGGATGTAGCCCGAGAGCATCATGTCAAAGTCGTCCAGGTACGACTGCTTGAGCCCTTCAAAGAGGTCCCGGATCTCCTGGGCGGACACCCTTGTCCCCTTCCATTGTCTGTACCCTGTGTGATTGCCTATTTTTGGAGGGTGTGTGTGTTAGCAAATCTATAGCTATGATACTGGGGAGGAAGTGAGTCATGGGGAGGGCAGAGTGGAAGAAGGGAGGCCATACTGAATTGGACGGTGTTGAGAGCCGCAACATCGCAACCGAGGGACTGCAGTGTGAAGACGGCGATTTTGTTTCCTACATTTCTGCGGTAGGCTGTCAGACCCGCGGCTCACCATCCTGCCTACACGTCTGGCGCACATAGCCGCCTATGAAAGACACAAACTCACCCGGACACAACCTGTACCAGACGGTTAGTCACACACCTAAGTCGAGGCTGCGAGAACTCAGAGAAGGCCTTACATGACTGGCGACGGCCAGGACGCGTGTATCGGGGATCGGGAGTTCCACCGTCATGATCCTGTTGCGAGACTTGTGGCGTCTTGGACAAGATTCTGATGTTTGCTCAGAATGAGTAGTTGAGAAACCCTCTATGTTTTACTGGAGGCGTATGTGTAATGTAGTTTCTCAGATCTCAAGAGTCGGTTATCGGCGGTATGCTTTATCGGGAAAGATGCCGATGCGCGGAATGACTACAGATGTTGGACAATGAGAAGGGGTATTACGTTGTAGAATGGTGCAGAAACAAGACAAACAAATTCGATGCGTTGCAAATCAAAAGTTTTGGGCAAAGTAATAAGTCCTGTATCGGCGCAATTACCCGGATGTCTATCTATTCCGGAGATATCTCTTGCTTGGTCTTGTGTAGAGGGAAAGACGGGAATGACTAAGTGAGATTAGAAAGGATCTGGATGGGTGTACTGCGGTTCCAGGTTCTTCCACTTCGTTAGCTTCGCAATTCCCGCTTCTGGTTGTGGCTCTTGCTCTGACTCTTGACGTTGCGATGGCCGATGTCCGCCCAACCCGACGCGACATTTCCAGGGAAAAAAAATCGACCCCGCCAAAAAGCCAAAGGGCGCATCGAATAACCCCGCACTAGCCCGAGATTGGAAAGCTCTGACCGAGAGGCAGGTCGCCTCAATGCAGCTGCTCTCAGCTGGCGCACTCATTCATTTGAGAGAATCCAGTGAAGGGACTCGATGAACGTCGAGCCCACAGGGTACCAATTCCATGGACCGACCTATTGCTTCATATGTACGGAGTAAGGTAGGCGGAAACAGTTATTTCATTATCTTTCGTGGTCCCAAAAAGTGCTTTTTGCTCTTCCTTCACCAACGTATTGCGTATCTTCTCTAGAACATGCAAAACTCAATCCAGAGTGAAAAGGACAGGCCCTTTGCCCCGTCCATGATCCCGTGCAACGCCAGCAATATCAACTTCATTCCGTCGTTAATCGCCGATTTACTCCTCGTCACCAATCTAATGTGCATGTTAGTTTTTGTCTCTGATGGTGTTGAGCGTCAAGAGAGAGAGAGAGAGCGTAGACTTGCCTTCGGCGCCAGGTAGAAGCGCAGGTAGCTCGAGCCTGCCAGAGCGTACTCGACAAGCAGCGGTACCTCGTTGGAGAGGCAAATCTTGACTTGCTTGGAAATTGCGGCGGCCTTGCAGAAGTTGACGAGGTACTTGAGAGAGAAGGTCAGGGAGACGGGCTCCGAGAGCTCAATGTCGACGTTGTTTTCGGGCTTATCCACGTTGGTGTGGCTTCGCAGGGTGACGGATCCATTGCCAATGTCGCCGCTGGCAGCGAATTTGACACCGTCCTTGCTCGCATCGATCGTGACTGTACACAGCAGCAAGTTAGAATCTATATTATCAAAGAACCAGGTTAGAAGGGATAGTGCTGCCTACCCGACTCGCTCATGGCGATCAAGTCCGCGCAGATGCGTCTGAACTCGCTGCTCGGCATGGTGACTGTGGAGGCGTAGTCCGTCTCAGGAATACCCAGGTGCTCCTGGTCAATGTCCATCAACTTAAGGTCGTACTCGCTGATACGGTCGTTGGCTGAGCTCTCGAAGAGAATGTTCAGGCTGTCGGGGGCATCCTCAGCCTTGAGCGTCAGGATGTCGTCGCCCTGGGCGGCGCGGAGGACCTTGGTCAAGGAGCCGAGGTTGACGCCGAGCGCAATGTTGCGGTCGCAGCGGAAAGGAGAGAAGGCCTCGGCCTTGAGAGCCATAGACACCAAGGCAACGTGGGAGTTGTCCATGGCCTGGAGCATGATGCCGGAGTCATTGCAGTCGAAGTTGCAGTCCTGAACGAGATCCTTGATGGCATCGACAACCTGGGCAGGTTAGTCAAAGAACTAGCAGACGTGGCTATCAAATCAGATTGGGAAAGAAGTACCTTCTTCAGGATATCGGCCTGGTCGAGTCTGGCTTCCAACATCTCTGCAAAGTATCAGCGTCATGCACCTGGATCGGAAACTGGGAGGATTGTCGAAGAAAGAAAGAAAAAGTGTGATTGATGCGACGTACTGGCTGATTAAATGCGTGTGAAAAGAAGAAGAGCAGATGGGTATCCTCGGGTATCAAAGAAACGGAAGGGAAGGCACAGAGGGGATGGTGAGCTGTTGCAAAGGTTGAGATCGTCAAGTCTGTGGTTGAGGGGTTGATGAAGAGCAGAAGGTCTTGTCGCGGAAAGCACTTTAATGGGCAAACACGGTCGCGCGTCGTAGTGGGCTGGCGAGGGAACGACGCGTCAAGCGTTTAATAGGGCTCAACGCCAACAACGCGCGGGGGGGAGGCAGGAACACTCACAGGCACGACGGCACGCCAGCCAGTCCGTTCCGTCTTTGATCGCTGACAGATTGGCTCGTGCACCGTCCACCCACGTATGTAAGGACAAGCGAGCAGCCTGGCAGGCCCATTTTGCCCACCTGAGATAGCAGCTGGTCCGGGCTCACCGAGCTCTCTCCACTTGGTCAGGGGTGTACGCTGGTGCTCCAAGCCCCTGAATCGTGGCTCCCCCTTTCTTCTCCCTGACGACCGGGTTTCTTTGTTGAAGGTCCGGATGGCAACTGCTGGATATAGCAATAAAAACGGCGCAAAACATTGGACTTGTTGCTACCTTGTGTGGCTGGTGAAGATGTAAACAAAAGGAAGTACGGAGTAAACATATTGGGTCTTTCTCAAATAAATTTTTTTGATACCTAGTGGGCACTGTCTTTCTTGCTTGAAAGATTAAAAGTCCCTTGGTCTGTACAGGTTATCTGACCCGATCTCTGAGCCTGCACCATACATTGTGCTGGGCATGAATTTCATTATACAATACAGATGGGTCAACTGGAAGCGATCAATACCTCCCATCCGGGTTCCCTGAAATCCCCTTCTATATGCATCCCGAGTATGAACATGTTTGCAGAGATTATATATCAGAAACCGAGAAAAGAAAAGGAAAAAAAGATTCAAATGACTGATTAGCTGAGTCGTCTGCACCAAAACGCCGTGTCCGTCATCAAATGTCATGTCCTCATCACATCGAAACAATGCGTGATGGATTCGTCCCGGTTCGTGGGCGGGGTCGGAGGTTGATGACCATCTCAAGTTCCTTGAGCATGCCTTTGTTGGCATCCGCCTTTTCTTTGGCGACCTCTCGCTTCTCCCGGTCTTCTCTCATCTTGACGATGCGCTCGTCTCTCGTCAATAAGCTGCGGGGCCGGAACGGCTTAGCGATCGCCTCGAAGATCTCTTCCGTGTCTGGCTCTCCTGTGCTGCTAAAGTCTAGACTTGAAGGGGATTCTCCGTTCAAGGCTTTCAGGGCTTCGGCTGCTCCGCCTCCTTCGTCGACTGTCGTCAGCCCGCTGAGAGAGCTGGTCGGAGACAGCAGTGTGCTCATGGAAGAAAGTCGCTTTTCATTCCGGTCGATACCCAGAGCGAGTGCCGCTTTGCCTTCCTCCCAGGCCTGCATCAGTATCTTCAGGTCAGCCCCTATGGACTCATACTGTGACATGAGGTTGGACCCGAGCTCGGAAATGTCGTCAGACTCATTGAGGCTTCGGTCAGACTCTTCTCTCAACAGCGTTAGTTTGGCCTGCAAGCCGCGAATACCGCTGGACAAAGAGTTGAGTTTCCGTAATTGCGATCTCCATCTTTCCCGACCAGGTGTCAAAGGCATCTTTGGAGTTGGTGGCGGTGGGAATGCTTGAGAACGTCAGTCAACACGCCCCATAGTAAGGTAAAAAAGACCACTTACACTCCTCATCGCTCAGAAGTCTTTTCAGGTTGTCAAATGCCCTCTGAGTGGCCGCGTTGAGAGTGCGCACCGCTTCCACTGTGGTAGTCCATTTCAAAAGGTCGTCACTCTCACCGCTCGCGTCCAGGGCCAACAAGGCACACAAAAACATCTTCCGGATGGTGTGGAACCTTGCGGCGAGGATCTTGAGCGTCCTTAAAGACTCGGTATCCTCAAATTCATTCTCCTTAAAGCCCTGCTGGGCATCGGACATGTCGAAATCGCTAATATCGTAGATATCGTAGTACTTCTCGAGGTCGAGTTGTTCCGAAAACCCTTTTACTACCGCCACGGTCTGATCGTATGCGGGAATGACATCCGCGAAGCACGACCTCAGTGCCCTGCGGAGGCGCACGCACTTGCGAGTCTGTGAGCGATCCTCTATGCGACTGATGGGGGGAAGAGGCGCACTCCTAAAGTTTGTGTCAGCGCACCACGGACTTTCTCGCCAGTTACTGGACCAGAGGGGAAAATGAACTTACAGACGGTAACCTCTGGAAACAAGTTCCACCTCTTGTACCAGAGCAATCGCCGCGCTAGTCGCGCTGTCGAATTCCTGAGAGTTTGAAACAAACGCAGTGACCTCTGACAGTGCTTGGAGCCGTCTGTACCTTAGCCATCGTCTACGCATAAACACATGGGCGATCCCTGCAGCGATCACAAAAACCAACAGAATGACGAAAGTGCGCCGTTTGTTCAATGGCCCTGTTCCTGCGAGCCAGTTGATCGAGACGACGAGAGCCAATGCCCCTAGAACGACGACGACCGCGCTCGTTGAATCCAGCAACTTGTCGGCCGGGTTTCCGTCAATGGCCACATTGGCGGGCCGGGATGATGCATGGTTCTGGGATAATATGGAGTGCCCACTCAATAGCTGGGATGCGATAATAGTATAGCGAAATTGCTCGAGGAATTTGGAGTTGTCGGCTCGGTCAATCCTGGATGCTACCGCGGTCTGGAAAGGACACACATCAGTAATTTCCTCATGTGCCACAGATAGGGGATTGAGGGTTGCGCACCGAATAGCTGAGTCTGTAAGACTTGTCGGAGGCCGCTTTGGTAGGTATGTCGACTCTGAGGGGATTATTGCGGAATCTCGACCTCACCATCGGCCGACCTGTCGGCGCAAACTCTGGGCTCGAAGGAGGCGACACATCGTAGGTTGGATCGTCGTGCGCCCATCCTGCCTGCTCCTCTTCGCCTTCGTCTACAGCATGCGCGCAGAATGTCAGCAGGCGGGCTCAATGGCATAACGGGTCGTCGCCTATGAGAAAGTTGCACTCACCACGAAGGTACTCTGCGAGCGGCGACTGGTCAAACACAACAGGCTCCATCTAGCGACCTGGCAAGTATCGAGGAGGCACCTACAAGCAGCACGGCCATCTGTCGCCCCAAATCGTCGCGTTGGCCGCTGCGTCGTGAGATCGTGAACGGTATGAGGGGTGGTGAGGTGTTGTGGTCGACTAATGATTAAAAGACTCAAGAGAAAAGCAAAATATGGGCAAACACTACTCTGTAGTAGGTAGACGGTGCTTCGGGGGATATATACGAATTGTATGTACGGATACGGATACGTATTGTGATTGCGGAGGGCGCACCAGGGGGGAAGGGAGAGTTCGCTCAAAGCGCCGACCCGAGAGTGACCAGCCCGCTCGCGAATGGGCAAGGAAACTGGACCCCTGTACTCAATTAAGGTGCTAGGGGTACGAAGTACAAAGTCGGAGCCTCGGTGGGGTGGTTGCATATGATCTGCCCCAGCTAACGGAGCGTTCTAACGGTGTCACGGTGAGGTTTTGCGCACCGAGAATGTGGCTTGTGCATCGCGTATTGCGTACCTGGGGATTATTATTTGCATACCGGTATTTTTAAATTTGGTACATTGGATGGGACGACACGGGGCGGAGCCGAGACCGACATGACTCTCCACCCACCGATCTGGGGACACTAAGGCAAGATTGGACAGGTACTTAGCCTGGAACATTGAGATGCCGTAAACCGATGTGCAACTTTCCGCAGGATTAGGTAAGGAATCCCACTGGGCCAGTGACCTGCCAAAAACCCGACAGACACCCTATTCGTGTGGAAGCTGGTATTACCTAATCCAAGGCCCGCTTTGTGACGGAAGAGCTCTAGGAATGGAACAGAACAGACACCACTACCAGTCTAATAAACCCTCCAACCACGAAGCGCATCGACAACGACACAAAAGATACGATCGCGGGACCTGAGATCTCCCGGTGTTGCCCTCATAGGACACGAGCTTCCCAGCGACCTGAAAACCCGTGCGCCGCATACCAGCAATACCGCAACAATGCCGTCGGAACGCGACTACCAAATATCCCCCATTGTGCAGGAATCCGTCATGCACAACACCAAGGTGGGATAGGTCCCTGAAGCTGAACTTAATGGCCGACGTAACCTTTGTCGCTAATCATCTTGCGCCTCTTCCAGACCCTATCAAACCTGCAGAGTCTTTCAGCATCCCTCTTCGGTGTCGCGGCTGGCATCCTCGGCCTCGAATCGTACAGCGGCTTCCTCTTCTACCTCGTCTTCTCACTCATCACCGCCGTCTTGTTCTACGTTCTACGCATCGCTCCCGAATCGACGTCGGCAGGTCTCCCATTCCTCAGCACAAGCCGTTACTTCAAGGGACCATTCGACTTCTGGACAAGTGGGCTGCTTGGAGGTCTTTCTGGTTTCATTCTCACTTGGACGTTGTTCTACGGTTTGGTGAAGGCATGATGAGATACGGGTGGTCAAGGTGGCATTTCTGGCGTCAGGTGTTGAGGAAACAGCATACGGGTCTAGTCGCAGGTATATGTCATAGCAGAACCGTAATCTGAAAAAGAGTAAAGTGACGCTGGCATAATAATATAAGTGAAGGATGTGGCACCACGCTCAACAACGCCGCTACAAAGTCTAATGAAACCAAAATTCCCACCCAAAACGCAGAAAGAATCAATCCATAATCTCGACGACAGTTCCCACGAAGCCCTCTAGACCGGACCTATCGTTGCGGCCTCCCTCCAGCACAAGGATTTGAGAGCCCATCTCGACCCATTCTCGACTGGTTAGCAGCTCCAATGTAACCTGAACGCCCCCCGAAAACTCAAGATCATGGGTAGGGGCTGATTCATCATGTTCGTTCATGTCGAAGATATCTTCAGTTTCTTCGGGCTTGACTTTGTTCAAGTCATTCTTTGAAGGAAGTCTGGAAACACCCTTGACTCGGGCAGCCGCCCGAACGCTGCCGACGTAAACATTAACGAGAGACCCGTACGCCAGCGATGCAGTGTTGGGATCTCTGAATGACACCGTAAGTCCACTAGCTGCTTGAAGGGACATGCCGGTGTCAGCCATGTGTTTGGATGGGATGGCCAGGACCATGCCTTTCCGGATTCGAGGAGCTGCCAACGGTGCCTCGAAGGCCGCTTCTGCCGATTTCTCTTGAGGAATTTCCAGGACGATTCCAATAGTGCCGACTTGACCAGCTTCTAGTGTGTTTACGGGGAGCCGCAAATTACGTATGCTGACGATTTTGGCGCTGTGCCATTCTCCTTGGATTGTGGAGGCTGCCACTGTATTGCGAATTGCAATTTTAGCAAGTTCTGCCGACGAGGGGTGTGATATTGACAGCCCGTAATTGCCAGGAGAAGCCCGGTCCTCCGGCGTCATGCCTTTGAAGTCATCCTCACCGGAGGGAAATGGTCCAACAATGATGCTGTCTCCGACCGAAAGCTGACCAAAACGTAGGTATCCGGATACCACCGTTCCCATGTCATTCTGGTTGGGGTTCTCAGCAAGAGAAGCGTAGGACGCAGGAAGGCTGAAAGTGTCATCAATATGGAACAAGCACGACGGCTGTTCGGGATTCAATGCCATCCCGACATAATCGTTGGCAGTAGGGATTGGTGGCAGGGGAAGGTTCTCCAAGAGGGCATGTGTCATCCCAATACCAGCACCGCTGACAGCACTGGTCAGGATTATTGGAACAATTTTGAGGAGGTCTCCATCCCGCTCCATCTCTGTTGTGACAGCCTTCACCTTGTCGACGTCTGCTGAAGGAACAGCTGTCCATCCCTGAACGCTGCCTTGAGCGCCTTGAGCTGGCTGGAGGATCTTAGGGGCTCTTCCCACTGCTTTGACGTCTGTCAAGAGCTGTCCAAGAATTCGATGCAGACTGGTTTTGGTTGCAAGGTCCATTTTGGTGATGACGATGGCCAGAGGAGTCTTCAATTTCAGGCACAACTCCAGATGAGCTTTGGCAAGATCAACGCCAGCCCCTGCGACTCCAAGAACGTCATTGGCGGTGGAACTCGCTCCGTCTTTTGTTGAACTCGCATCCGCGTCGTCTGCCGCCAGACAAAGAACAGTCCACTGTGGAGCCCAGCCGAACAGACCTCGGAGGATGGTCCGGCGGTAACGGGGATGGCCGGCGGAATCGGAAACAAAAACCAGGCGACCATTCTCAACACTGTCGTGTATATCAATCCACGATTCGACGTGATCTTGCGAATAGTTGAATATGGCGCGGTCCTTGTACCCGACAAGCTCCTGTGCTACTGAGCTAGTGAGCCCAGACGCCACCTCGTGCCGATGTTTGAAGAGACTGACCCGGCTTTTCCCTCGGCCGTTGTCGACGGTTCCCGTGGACAAAGTACCCAGCAAAGTAGATTTTCCAGACGTTGTTGGTCCAGTGAGCGTTATCCTTAGCTGATCCGTAGTAGAGCGCCCTCTACTTGGTTGCACAATAGACTCGGTAGCCCTTGGCGGTTCTTTCACTTCGCGACACCCCTCTGTCGAGCCACCTGCGTGCCCGTTCTTCATTGAGTAGTCGGGAGTAACGAGAGCCTCCACGACCCAGAGTCTTGCCTGTCGAGCAGTTTGGGCAGGTTGAGTTGCCCCGCTATCCACCAACTCGGACGTCTCTAGCCACTCGCACTCGCCAACAATTACGTGGCGTAAGATTTCGACGCGGCAGCCCAGCGTGGCTGCCATGACCTTGAGTGTCGTGATGCTCTCATCCATTTCGTCTTTGGTCAGCCCCACCAGAGTCCCGTCATCAGCAACACCAATCTCATACAACGCTCCACGTGATTCTTCCAAGCCGGGGAGAGGTTTCTGTGGTGTCATCGCCTGACTTAAGTCGTCCGTATCATCAGGCAATTTTGGTATAATGAGGTCTTTGGGATTCAGAGCATGGTAGGCACATGATTGCTGGAGCCTCCAGAGCAATTGCGTAGTCAGTTGTTGTAGGCGGACTTGTCGACTCTGACTGGAGGCTGATAGGGCTGCAGTTGCAATCTTTGAGCGGCTGGCGGGAATTCTGGAGTTATGGGTGGAAGAGATGGTGCTCATAGCGGTATACGTCCGTCTTGGTCGCAATAAGAGGTGAAGTTTGTATTCAGTGGGACCTTCTTGCGGCTCTGCCTCCAACTTGGTGACGCCGTAGTCTGAGAGGTGCCCCGGCTGGACTTGTCCGTTGTCAGAGTTGAACCTCCTCCCAGGGTCTTCAGGAGCCAGCCATGGGGATGAGACCCGTTGGGGGTCCGTATCGAATGTGAATATTGAGCCGGAAGCCATGTTACAAGTACGAGGGTGGCGATAGGATAGTGAGTGCAGTAGCGAAAGCGTGGCAGTTTCTCAAGCGCGTAATATCGAGGAGCAAAAAGATTCGGGATGGATGTCAACGCCGGGTTCGAAGAGCTATTGCAGTAAAAATGGCAGAGGAACGAGACGCTATGCGCGGTATCATTTTGATAAGTGAGCTGAGTGGTGATATCTGCGACGTGCTCGAGGCGCTGTTGCTGACTGTGGAGTGATGGAGAAGAATCTCAATCGGATTCCTAGTTGAAGGCCATGGCGTATCGTTTACCTATACGCGATTGACTCTGTGATTTGTAGTATGGAGGGTTGAAAGTGTGCTCAAAGACTGGAGGCTTTGGATAGAGGAAGGCTATGGATAAGTTTTTGACGCCGTTGCAGTCTGGCCAGAGTAATGACTCGAAGGACGGTGAGAGGTCTCAGCTGAGGTGTGACGCAGTTGGCCGGAAGTCAAGTTCAAAAGTGACTAATATAGGTAGGTACCCTTGTTAGGTAAGATGTTAAGATGGGAAACTGGCACCTCTCTGAGTGGCTTGACTTTGAAGTTGGGCGGGGAAAGTGCGGGTATTCCACCACCAGCTTACCTCGCGACCAAGGCAGGTGCAGCCGTTTACCGGTCGGCGGTGAATGACTCCATGAGTTCACGCTCCTCCACAGCGTTGATTTGCATCAAAGTACCCGTAGCGACGACTCTGGCCAGGGCCCTCAGGACTTCTCTGCGCTGCGACTCACTCATGCCAACCTTACGCACCGTGGCACCTTACTCTCCCACCTGCGCTTGTTGAATAGCTTTGTCCAGCTCCTACATTGTCGATCTTGGGCTTGGCTGGCTGTGACAGAGCCAGCATTGCTATTGATAATGGTTCAGCTGCAACGTTAATATTGAAGTTTGAATACTAGGGCAATCACCTATCCATAGGTATGGTCCCTAGGATACCTTAGTCGTTCGCCGTGCGTTGAATCTTCGGACTCCGGCCAGGTTTGTACGTAGGTATTTGTGGTATCCATAAACGGAGTATTGTACCTAGAGTCGGGGACCCAATAAGTCTCCCCAACAGCAGTCCGGTTGTCTTTGTTCCCCCTTCCGTACCTTAGTTCTGTGAAAACCGGGCATCCGGTACAGAATGAAAGTAACTACTGCCTGCAAGTAGATGTTTGCTACGAAGCTCCAACTCAATCGGGACTCAGAAGCCAAGTTGTCCCGCCGCATTTACACGCACCAAGGGTCTTTCAAGGCTGCATTCGCTTGACCTCCAGGCACAGACACGGTCGAGGTACTTCGCAGAACCGTTCTCCCGGGCGAGACTGGACTCATTTGCTTCGCAGATAAGACCTCATTTCACCTCCTTTTTACCTATGAAAGAGTAATCAGTGCATAATGCCATGTTGACGGAGCATAAGTAATAATGCTACTGCACATTTTGCAGTGTGCTTAGATAAGATGCGCGTGGGAAATGGTGTGAGGACAATAGATACCTATGTATACACAGATACGACCGGCTTCTTCAGCCCAATGCCGCCTGATACATCACCTATGTGAATGTACCTTATCAGTATCTAACCTGTGTACCCAAGGTACCTAGTGAGACAACAACACAATGCTTACCTTGGTTCCTGTATACGTACCTAGGTACTGCGCTGCTTTGTGTGTCATCGTGTCAGAGGCATCTTACCTCCGACATTGAACTCATGAGTCTGGTTGCGGCACGACAAAACAAATCCGGATTACGCAGGAATAAGCTGAAAGGCCACCAAGGAAAAGCGATCCATGATTCCAGCGCTAGACTCGAGGCTGAGTCGAGCATGGAGGGCTGCTATAGGCTGGTGATGACCACCATTGTATAGCCCGCTCCTTGCGCCATAATATGATTGTCGACATAGCGATTGATGTGTGAGTGTGTACCTACGGATATCTCAATTCAAATGTCGACACGGAGTACCTAGGTGGCTAACTCATTCCCTGTCATCTCGAACGGCCACAATGACTTGAGCAGGATGATTGATGTCTTCTTCATTGCCGCAGCCCGCAACACTGAACCTAGGCCTGATCCAGGCAGTTTGCATATTTGATTCGCTGCGCTTCGGGTCGACGCTGGCCCAAGCCCAATTCCCCAAGTCAGGTCCAAACCATCAGAAGCCTGACGAATGTTTTATGGCTTAGACCCTGAAGCCTGAGGGGGCACTTCCGTTCGCCTTCGAAACACACCCAAGACGGGCCCGATTTTGCCACATTAAGCTGGTGCTGGACGCCCCTTGTCCAACCCCGCTGGGTCCCCGCTGGGCCCGCTGGTGCTGCCCATCCTGCATCTAGCCATCTACCGTGCTGTCCCTTCCCGACCTGACTTCTCCTTATTTTTATACGTATCCTCACCTTCCGTTCCATTCTCTTAGACAAACCTTCAGCGGCACGTTGTGTTTTGCTTCTTTCTAGAACAAATCCAATTGTACACCCACATTCACCATACCCCGACGAAACCTAAACTTTCCACTCTATCGCTCCTCGCCATGAAGAAGTTCGGCTTCAGCAAGAAAGGCGGCGACGAAGGCGACGATGCCAACCGCTCCGCCCTCTTCGGTCGAAAGAGCAAGTCTCCTGCTCCGGGCAGCGACAATCCCTACGCACAAGCTCCAGCTGGTGGCGATCCCTACGCCCAGGACGCGAATAAGTACGCCGGCATGACGCCCTATCAACGAGCACGAGCTGGCGTGCCCATCAATGGCGGTGCCCCTGGTGGCCTTCCTGGCGGTGCCCCTGGTGGCCTTCCTGGCGGCCCGAGGGGCGGTGCCGGCTACGGTGCCCCGCCACAGCCTGCCGGTGGCTACGGGAACGAAAAGTACGGAGCCGCAGGAGGATACGGGGCAAATCGTTACGACGATAACAAGAACGCCTACGGCGCGAATCAGCGATCAGGTGCTACTGGCGGAGCTCGTGGCCCCGGAGGCTACGGAGGCTTGGGCCGAACCAACAGTGACAGCACCGATGCTGTGCGCGACGAGCTCTTCAGCGGGGCTCAAGACAGATACCAGCAGAACAAGCCGCAGGCTGGAGGGTACGACCAATCGACTCCGTCTGGCGCTGATGGGGGATACGGCGGATATGGAGCCCCCCGTGAACTCACAGCTGAAGAGCAAGAAGAGGAGGAATACAGCGCTACCAAGACACAAATTAAGGATGTCAGAGAACAGTCTCTTCAGACCACCCAAAGATTGCGTCAGAATGCGAGCAACGCTGAGGCAATAGCCAATGCGTCACTCGCTAAGCTCGCTGCTCAAGGCGAGCGTCTGCATAACACAGAAAGGAACATGGACATAGCGGCAAACCACAACGTGAAGGCGGAGGAGGGTGCCAAGAATCTAAAGAAAGCAAACGGAAGCATGTTTGCAGTTCACGTCAACAACCCATTCCAATCTAAGAAGCGTGCGGCAGAGCGAGATGCGGCGATTCTCGACCGACACCGCCAGGAGCGCGAAGTTCGCGAGGCGACCAGACACGAGGCTTTCAAGTCCAACCAGCGAATGGAAGATACCTTCAAGGAGATGTCGCTGTCTGGTCGTCCTCAAAGGGAGTTGGAAGGACAACGCAAGCCGGTAGCAAAGAATTTCAGCCTCGATAGCGAAGACGAAGAAGAAGAAGACAAAGAGAGGATGATTGACGACAACATCACCGCAGTTTCCGGCGCGGCTGGGCGTCTTGGCCTGGCAGCCCGCGCTATAGGAAAAGAGATCGATTCACAGAATATCCTCATCGACAATATCGCCAAAAAGGTAAGTACATCACTAATTTTAACCTTGTTTTGTGTTGATGCTGAATCACATTTCCCAGAGCGATGCTGTCGACGACGGAGTCAGGATGAACAGAGAGCGTTTGAACCGCATCAGGTGAATGATCGGGAGCCAATTCCACCGACTATCCTATTCGTGAAAATGCCCACAAAGAAGACAAAGAAGAGCAAGGTCCATAACTAAATGTTCTCCAACTTGTAAACTTCATAGGCTGGGGTTTCGTAAGGGTGCGCGCTATAGAACGCAGATAGTCAATCAGAAACAAGGCGTACCTCTTAGTTTGAACTCCATACCTTTTGAGAGCTGCTACAGCGGCTTTTGCAACATTTCTGTCAGAGCACAAGACCTCGACTCGATACTCCAAGACTCGCTCAAGTTGGTCTACTGCGCCTGTGTGAGGGTCTGCCCCAGCTGCCCCTACGGACCTGAATTGGCCTTGGCCGGTAAGCTCGAAAGCCACTTGAATATACTTGCCCTGGTCGTAGACCCCGGCACCCGTTTCGAAGACGGCGTCTTTAGTAGCGACCAAGTGGGAAGCTGTTGAAATGCCAGAGAAGGAAGTCAGCATGCTTTCATTTGAGTTCGATGATGTTGGGCAGACCCAACCTGGCACGGTGTAGATGAGCTTGTAGCGGTCCGCCATTGCTGGGGTATAGATCGTGTGTCGACGAGTGAGTGTTGTCAGGCTAGTCTTGCTATACGAGAAACCGTGAGCAAGCGAGCGACTTGTATCGGTACGAGTGAGGGGAAACGCTTGAGAGCGACCAAAGTGACGCAATTTGCACTTGGGACACATGATTTTCGAGGTTGGGCATCTGCTCAATATAATGGTTACGGGCAAGGTCTGGTGCAATTTGACAACCTGGCAGAAGTATTTATTTCGCCAATTGAGAATTGACTACAGAATACCATAGCTTATGTACTTCATGGATTTCTATCAGTTGTCTTATTCTACTTACCTTATTTGAGAAAGATGCCCTGGAGGAGACATTGCGGCTGTTGCGATGAGGCAGGCAGGTACCTATGTGCATCCCTCAGGTGCCCTGTACAAATACGGGGCAGGCATCCAATTAAGAACCGGCTGGGTGCGAAACCAAATCTAGCACTCTCCCCATAAATCTCTTCTCACTTCCCATTCATTTCTCACTTAACTGCCGACTACATATCGCAAACTCTGTTGGCAGCCTCAACATGTCATCTATACTTGACGCTGAACGCGCCCCCAAAAAGCGGAAGCTTAATGGCAAGAATACTATCAAGGTTGGCAACAAAGTCATTTCTCTTGAGGGATATCTCAACCCCCCAGCAAAGAAAAAAGAAACGGAAATTCAGCAACGTCCAACAGAAGAGCTGCAGTCTATTCAGGATACAGAAAATGATGCCGCGTCGGACGCGTTAGCCAAAGATTCGAAGTATTCGCATCAAACAGCTCCGACTTTCATCAAGCATTCGTCGAAACCCTCCCAGCATCGAGACAGGTCAAGACCTGACAAAAGAGGCCAAAGATGGAGAGATGATCCTGCCTTATTGAAGATCAGGCAAAAGTTACCCATCTGGGCACACCGGGAGGAGATACAAGCTCGCGTGCGCCAAGACGATGTACTTCTTCTTGTTGGTGAAACTGGTTCTGGAAAAAGTACTCAGATACCTCAGTTTTTGGTCAGGGAGCCGTGGTGTAGGAGACAAACTGTCAGTATCGCAGAGGCAAGAGAAGTCAGTGTCGGTGGCATGATCGCAGTCACTCAACCACGTCGAGTTGCCGCCACGACTTTAGCGCATCGTGTTTCCCGCGAGGCTGGGACGCCTCTCGGTGAAAGCCGCGACGGACTAGTTGGATACTCGGTTCGTTTCGATCACCAGGTTCCCAAGGGCACGAAGATCAAGTTCCTCACCGAGGGTATGCTTCTTCAGGAGCTTCTGAGAGATCCAGATTTGAAACAATACAGCGCCGTGGTCGTTGACGAAATCCACGAGAGAAGTGTTGACGTGGATTTGGTGTCCGGATTCCTCAAGCAAATCCTGCTTAGTAGCCGGAAGGGCCGCGGCGGCATACCACTCAAGGTTGTTGTCATGAGTGCCACGGCCGATGTTGAGCGCATTCAAAGTTTCTTCTCTGCGAATGCTCCTGAAGAAAAAAGCGGCGGTGACGACTTGGTCAACAACAAAATCAACTCTGTTGGATTACTGAAGATCCAGGGCCGGCAGTACCCGGTCAAGACGATACATACTCCCCAACCAGTGCCGGATATCCAGGAATCTCTCTTGAAGACGATTTTCAAAATTCATGTGGAAGAGCCACTACCTGGCGACATTCTTGCTTTCCTGACCGGACAAGAGGAAATCGAATCCGCGCAGTCACTGCTCGAGGAGTACGCCGCAACGCTAGCCTCCAACGTCCCCAAGATCAAGGTTCTACCCTTGTACGGTCAGCTTTCAATGGAAGGACAACATGCAGCTTTCCAGCCTGTCAAAGGAGGTTTCACGCGGAAAATCGTACTGGCTACCAATATCGCTGAGACGTCCGTCACTGTACCCGGTGTACGTTACGTGGTGGACGGCGGCAAGGCCAAGGTCAAGCAATTCCGCGCTCGCCTCGGCATGGAATCATTACTAGCAAAACCTATTTCCAGGTCTTCCGCCATCCAGCGAACAGGCCGTGCTGGTCGTGAAGGCCCTGGCAAGTGCTTCAGGCTATACACTGAAGGTACATTCAGCACACTCGAAGAAACGGATCTGCCAGAGATCCTGAGGATCGATGTTCTGGGAGCTGTCTTGACGATGAAAGCGCGAGGCATTGATGACATTCTTGGGTTCCCCCTTATGGACACCCCGGATGTGGAAGCCATCGAACGAGCACTAGTCAGCCTTCATGGACTCGGTGCGTTGGCAGACGACGGCACGATAACCGAGGCAGGCCGCAAGATGGCGGGATTTCCCATCTCCGCGGCGTTTGGTGCGGTTCTGCTTGCCTCTGCCAAGCCGGAATTCGACTGTGTCCTAGAGACGATAGACGTCATCTCCTGCATCACGTCTGGCGACGACATTTTTCATCAGCTGCAGTCAGAAGAACAACGCGAGGAAATTAAAGAACTCCGCAAGGAGCTCTACCGCCGGGAAGGCGACATCCTAACATATCTTACCACAATGCAACAATACGCCGCCGAGAACGCCAATCGTATACAGTGGTGCAAGCAGAGAAAGGTCAACATTCGCAACATGAAGACAGCGCTCAACATCCGCAGGCAACTACGTAGCCTCTGTCTCAAAGAAGGCCTTCTCACAGAGGCTCCGCCGCCAGACCCTCAGCCCTTTACTCCTCTGGCTCCGGAACAGGCCGAGGCTCTGCTCAAGTGCTTCCTCCGCGGCTTCGTGTCCAAGACAGCTATACTGGCGCCGGATGCGAGCTACGTCACGTCACAAGGCAAGCATGTTGTGGCCATTCACCCGTCTAGTGTGCTACACGGGCAGAAGAAGGAGGCCATCATGTTCCTTGAGCATGTTTTCACGCAGAAAAACTATGCTAAGAAAGTCAGCATCATCCAGGCCGACTGGATTGTCGAGGTGTTTGAGGGGCACTGAAAGATGACTACGACGCTGCGCAAAAGGTATACATTTACATAGATATTAATACAAGCCCGCATAACTCGCGCCTTTCGCATCGTTGACTTTGATGGTGTTTTCCTTCATTAAGGCAGCGACATCACGATTGATCCTCGCCTTCACCTGACTCACGCCGTTCTTTGATCGCCTGCATCAGCTCATAAAGTTGACCGATTTGTTCGTCTAACAGGGAAATGAGTCATTGGCCATTGCGAAGTCACGGAAGAAATAATTGAAGAGAAAACTCACCACTCATCTTAGCAACCTTGACAGGGTCGATTTTCTCGCCAACCCACGAGTTGCCCTCGATCTTTTGCGCATATAACTGCCATTCAGTCAAGAAACCGATCTAGCACATTGCGAGGAAATGATTAGTCACTTCTCTCGTGTAAAGAATGACTCTTCACCTCATGCCATCACCAAAGCAGAGGACGTACCAGGTGCGCCGGGTTATCTACTGTGCGATGAGCACGAAACTCAGCCTTGATGTACTCGTCACCCAGTAGGCGCATCTCGGAAGGAAGGTGTTTGCGGTGAGCGCGCAGAAGACGGCGGTATAGCGGAATAGGGGGTAGGAGGGCCATCGGTGCGGGCCTGAGGCCGTTGCCCTTTGAGACGGAGGCCGAGGCCATCCTCAAAACTGACGCAGACCGCATTGGTGGCGGGTTGGGGGTGATGAAGTTTGTTGGGCCGGGAGGCTGCAACGACGTCACTGGTAAGTGAGTCGTGAATCGATGTGACTCTTAAAAGCCGGAACGCAATACTGCTCTCGTGCTTTCAATTTATCGATGATGGCCACCTCGTTGCTGGTTGTTCAAGATACTGGCAAATGATGTTTAGGTATTCCGTCATGCAAATCACCATTTTCTGATGGGAGGTCAACGAGGTGACCCATACAGTGCACGGCGATCAGAATTACACACAGTATCTGCTTAACAATGGGTGAGTATTCATGAGTAGGCAGAAAAGGGTGGACCTGGAAGGCAGCTAGGGTCCACATTTACGGGCTACCCAGCTACATACCACTTTTAAAAGAATTATAGACTTTACCTAATTCCTCGTCTTTTTACAACGTACCTTTATATATAATAAACTAAAGAGAGAGAGAGTTGTGTGCTGCCATATCATTTTTGACGGCGGCGACAAGGGCATCTCCGATGTCACTATTGCGAGCTGTCGTCACCTGGAGGTCATAGTACACATACACAACGGCAATAGTCAAGGTTGTCATCCACAAGTCGTCTTGACTTCAGAAGTTCAGTTGAAAGAAGAGTCGTTCCATTCTACCATTTACGCTTTTGCGCTTTCTACTCCATCTCGCGTATCGGCGTCCCCCTCTAGTTCGGGGGGAAAGAGCTTGAGAACCTCTAACTGTGACATCCAAGTCAGCAAACGGCCATCCCGGTTGGGCACCTCCTTAGGTAGGAAATAGCATCCTCCAGAAAACATGCATCCACCGGCCTGGAAATCCTCTTGCGCGAGGCCGGTATCGCCATTTCTTATTTTCTCCAACGCCCACCTTGTTCTCTGCTTGAGAGGATGTTGCTCGCGCAGAATATGCTCCCAACCATCGAGGCATTCCTCCCATAGCCGGACAGCCCCCTCTGTCTTTTGACACCGGGCCAACACACCCGCCAGCTGATCCATCGTTGCCAGTGTATCAAGATGCGTCCTCCAAAGAAACTTCTCGCTCACTTCAAGAACCTCGCGCAAGATCTTCTCTGCCTCTTCAAACTGATTCAGGTTCGCACATCCGGTTGCGACATCTCGCTTCGATGGCAAGATCCTGGACTTATTGTCCAATCCCTCTTCGATGGCGAGGACTTCGCGCCAAGTCCGGTCCGCTTCATTGTGTTCCTCCAAGGCTGAACACGATGCGGCGACGCTGCTCAATGCGCTCGCCGTTGCAAGAGAATGGATTTTGTTTTCCACACAATACTGTAGGTAACTAATGTCAATACCGTAAGCCATTCCAGCATTGCCCTCCATCCGGAAGATGGTGGCAAGCGTTCTCACAGTTTTGCGCCACCAGCCCCCAGACCAGGGCCCGTCTCGCCCGACTTCCTCCCCATATTCTAGAAGTGTAGCTAGCAAATCTTTGGCCTCCTTGTATCTTGCTTGGATGATCGACAACTCCACCAGGTCGATGCCGATGCGGGGATGATGGCGCACGACCCTGATCTCACCGTGGTCCGCGACCAGTCTGATAATATCCTGGAAAAGAGCCTGGGACTCTTTCAACCTGCTGGAATCGCGGTAGGCCCTCGCCAGATCCCACGAAGCCGCTATGCTATCCATGTCTTGAGGCTCGAATATCACTTGGCTAGCAGCAACAATCTCTTCCAAGACCCTTGTAGCTTGGGTCCAGAGTCCCAGGTCCATAAGCACACTTGAGAATGCACCTTCCCTATGAGTCTCCCGTGTCAACTTCATGAACTCTAGACTTCCGTGCTCAAAACATGCCTGCATATGCGGCAGTACCTCGGGGCGAAAGATCTCTGCATCGAAGGTCTTATTTCTCGCACTCGCAAGATAGAGTATCTCGCCAGCTGCTCTGCGTTGCATGGTCAGAGTGTCGGGCTTCATTCGGTCTCTGGCCCAAGAGTGCACTAAAACATGCATAGAGTACAACCACCCAGCCAAAGTAGACCTCTTGATCAAAGAATAGCTTCTCAGCGTCGCGATTCCATTTTCGAAGTTGGTTGGATCCCAATCGCCTTCTCTTGTAATGTTGATCAACGGAAACGGCCCAATCCCATTGTCGCCCCTTTCGCTGCGAAAGGGACTTACATCCCATTTTCTGCTGACTGCTGCCCTCCTGAGAATCGCACTTGTGATCTTCTCATTATGATAGAAGCAGAAGATGTTGAGAATACGAAGGGCATTCAAGGCAGCCCGGCCGTTGTGACTGTTTTGCTGTGACCGCTTTTCCAATGCCACATACGAGAGCTCAAATGTACCGTAAACAGCGGGATTGTGCTCAAAGACTCCCGGGTACATAGGGTCTCCTATAATGTCTTTTCGGCGATCCCGGAAGTTGACAAGATAGCTTGCGAATGAACACTCCTGGTTGTAAATATAGGAACCGGCCTGATCGATGGCTAATGGGAGATATCCAAGCTCGCTAACAATTTCTCTTTCGTATCTGTCGTCAGCATCTCCGGACTTTGTCCTTTGTCTTTTCGAGGCGCGAAGGAATAGGGTGACTGCATCCTCTGCATCCATAATGTCGACCGGGATTGTTTGGTCGGCGTCCAGGGTGGGTGTTATATCTTTCCGTCTGCTGGTGAAGATAATGTTTCCAACGTTCCCCGGAGGAATATACTGGCTCACGTCGATTGAATCATTGTTGTCGAATACAAGAAGCCACTCTTCAGTATGATTCTGTGCCAACCAATTATGAACTTTCTTCATATCAGGCCTGCTGGGCTCTCCGCCGAAAATCTCAGCTGTTAACAATCTGAAGCTTTCGATCATGGAAGTTATGGTGGCGCCGTTGATCCGAAACACCAGATCGAATCTAAGATACGCGAATCAAGTAAGAAAACTGTGGGTTGAGATGGATGTCATGCCACATACCTTGACCCGTACAAGTCTCTAAATCTGAGGACAATCTGCGTCTTCCCAACGCCTCCCACGCCCCAAATTCTGAGGTGTCTTCTAGGTGAAGATCCGGCCGGGCGTTCGAAAAAGTGCCGTTCCATCTTGCTGAGTATGTCTAATCTGCCAGTGAATTGAGGGCTTGCAATGCTGTTGATCTGCACCTCTTGCTGAACGGCTTGCCTCGAGGCCGCTTCGGATACCGCATGGCCTACTGCGTTTCAGTCACTAAACATAGTAGCTTAGTGAGGATACTCACATGCGGCATCAAGAGACATGTTGACGCCCTCCTTTTTGTACAACATGCTGGCAATTTTGTCGATACTGGCAGAGACTTCAAAGTCTTGTATGTACCTCTCCGTTGCCGCCCGCAACAACCCCATTTTCTGGTATTCATTCAGCTTGATATCCGCAGCGCCCCGGTCCAAATTCAACCGCCAGTATGCGTAGGGTGTTCCCAAAAACCGCTCCTCTAAGGCTTGGTGCTCGGGCTCCGAATCAGTCAACGATGCTTTGGCATGCTTGACGATCTTTATCGTGCCTCTTGAGAAGAGGGCGCCGCTGCCTTGTCTGGCCACGACTGGACGATCTATAGGCTGCCCAGGAGGAACTACGTTGACTTCCTTATCGGAGACTTTAAGTCCGGTGCCCAAGCTGAGGAGAAATCCCAAGGTCCTCCTCGGGCCGAAGTAGGACTCGGCCTCACTCAGAACAAGGCGGGCGGGATTGTTGTAGGCCACGGCCCCGTCGACGTACTGGTCCCTCTCTGCCTCGACCTTGATGGAGATTGGGTCGAAGAAAGTCGGTGCCGCCGACGTTGCCCTTGCCGCCTCCCAAATTTCCACATTGTGAGCGCAGTTGCTGCTGCCTTTGTACGTTCGGAAGAGGTAAGCCGCGTAATTTTCATACGTGGCTGAGCAAACAAACGTGAGTCCCTTTTCCCTCGCGTCGTCGAGCATCGTGGTCGTTGCGAGCTTGCGCACGTTATCTTGTATGATTTTGACGAGTGTTTTCTCCTTGTAAGTTCTGCTCCAGAACCTACGGTTTTTCGGATGAAAAACGTCCTCTGCAAAACTTTCGGATGCGTTGATGGCTTCTTCAGTCGACATACCCATGCGACCTAACATGATGGCAATGAGTCTTTCCAATGATCTGCTATTAGTGACATTTTGCAAGACGGCGTGTTGGAAAGACCAACTCACCCCCTCAGTGCTTGTGCCACCCATCAAATGGAAATGGTCCTGAGGCTTGGGTATTTCTCTGAGGCCTGCCATCTTCTGTAGTCGCTTCATGATCTCGTGCAATATGACCAGTTCCGAAATTCCCCTGATACCTCCGCCGTCTGCCTTGTGTTAGGCGAGCCCTCCTGGATAGTCGAGAATCAACATACCCAGTGACAAGAGATAGAGAGGCTCATCTTGGCTCATTTTGCGACGATCTAGAACAAAAGTCCAGGCAGTAAACAATCAAGAGTCAAACAATAAAGTCGACATACGAAACAGTGAATAGGTAAATGAGAATAGCGATACCCAGCTTGAGCCAGGTAAACGCAAAGCTTGCGCATTCAACAGAAAAATCAAGCCAAGGGAAAGTGGCACTTCTTCAATGAGTCCGGCCAACCAACATCTGGGCAGTGCAGATAGTTGTCCGAAGACCAAGCCCATGGGAGGCCTTCTTTGGAATCCGCCCCAATGTATTATGCATGTTAAGCGCCCAGCACTCGCCAGGATATGGAGCAAGACACGGTCACACACACACCAATAAGCCTGCGATCTCTCGTCCAGGTTGCCAACACCGACTTTCCGACATTCATATTTCATCGGCTGGCCCCTATTGGAGTTAACTTGTCTAGGTATGGATGTAGCCAGACGCAGGAAACCTGAGAGCCTGTGGCAACCCGACGGAGTGGTTAGATGTGCGTCTCGGCTGGTAGGCATGATAGCGACTGTTACATTCACGCAGCAATCGCCAGTCTGCCCTCCTGCAGACCCTGGTTAAAACGGAGAGGCGCAGCATGTTGCCAATATACGTGGCCGAAGGCAGAACGAGATGGACTGGGAACGACATTCGGGAAGCAACTGCTGATGCTGCTTGGCAATCTGGGTCAGGCAGTATTCATGAGGAGCGGATCAAACTCGATAAATGAGGTGCCAGAAGATTCATGGTCAGATACCTGCAGGAGTCAGAAGACAAGAGGAAAATGGGACTCGGAATTGGTTGGTGCATGCTCCTAAGCGCCGGCCTTATGAAGCGGGTCGGGCCACTGGACGGGGTGGCGCTTTGACGATCGACTTGAACCAACAAATTACGTGCCAACCAAACATTTCTCATGTAGAACCATCAATCCGGCGGAAACTTCACTTTTCGAGTATTCGAAAAGCCGTGTAAAGGTACTGTACATGAGTTAGGAAGTTTGGAGCGTGTAGAAAGCCAAGCTGGTTGTTCTGCTCATCATTTCCTCGATATTCCTCAACAACGATGTCCGTCTCTGAAGGATGTTTATGGAGGTTTTGGTCAACTAGGCAAGAGTTTAGGATGCCCAATTTCTATCAAAAAGGGAATCTAGAGCCCTAGACAGACTGGTACATGTTCAATCGAAGTCAAGAAGGCAATCACCGTGAACCTCTCTCTGCCCAGCTCTCAGTCATTGAGCGGCTACAACGTTGCTAATGCCACCATGCCAGGTGAAACCGAATCAGTCATGTTCAGATATCGTAACAGCTGAGAATATCATTTCAGAATTGCCGCAAATGAGGGAACAACGTAAATGTGACTTGAAGACACACGTCTAGAGCTGAATGTATGCCTGAAATCCCACCATCAACTTCTTCCAGTGTAAAACTGACACATTGGGCTGGGTATTTCTGTTGCAAGACAGGCTATTGTCCTCTTGATGATAATCTCACTCCAAAACCGAAGACTGTACTCACCACCATCTCAGCCACAAGGTTTCGGGATGACGGAGTTGTCAATGGCCTACATTAAACCATAGCACTCACTCGAAGACATCCTGGATACTCGATTACGGAATCATGCCATGTCAGAGCACAACCCATTCAGCGACAGTTTGGCGTCACTTGCCTTCATTCCCCGTGCGGCATCCCATTGCCTCCTGCCAAATATGAACTTCAGTTGCGACATAAGCTATCAGAGACTTATGAACTAGTATTATCGCTCTCTCGATGGCACTCGTGCTCTAGAAAGTAGAGTGTGTTCCATTATAATCCAGCCACGTATGAACTTCTTCATCTAAGCAAGTTCATTATCAACCACCACTCCTCTCTATCTCAACCTTCAAGTTATATGCTCTGAATAAGAAGGCACTCATACCATCCAGTTGTGCCAGTACAGGTCATCACTGAAATTAAGACAACGCCAAAGCAACCAAACCTTCCAACCCAACAACCCCAGACAGCGCCATTCCCAAGTAGCCGGTCGGGCCCTCTCCCACGGAAACTCCGCACGAGCAGGCAGCACACAGCTGGACCAGGGATAAAAGTAAGTTGGTTCATGGCGGCAACCACCAAACGTAACCAACACTCGGGTGTGCCGCGCCAAGTCGCCTGGACACAACCACTCAGTGGCTCAGCATCCGAGACATTGGACGATTCCCGCAGGCCGCGCCTCCTCCGACTTTAAAGAAAAACAGGGGTCTTACTTGACGACTCGAGGGTTACTTAGGCAGCAAGTCGGGGACAGCAGGGAAAAGCAATAATGGTATCGAAAAGTTCAAGTGTTGTTCATGTCTGTGTTTGTGTCACATGCCATTCTGGTATTGGACTCGCTTGAATCGTCAAACACCCAGATCGACTTCATTATCCGTCATACCAAGAACTAGATCCTTCCCAGAAATCAACGCCTGCAAACCACCCAGAAAGTGATGCCACTGAAAACAAGGTCCGGCCGTCTATCCCTGTCTACGTACAAGGCAATGTTGGCCCCCCAATGGCCCCCACCACCACATTCAGGAAGGCGGTGCTCCAGCTTTGAGCATCGCCATCTCCGGCGCGGTGAATCCATTGCCCAAGTATGCGAATCGGTTCTGCTTTGCATTCTCGTACGTGTACTCCCAGTCCTCGCCCCTGAATCGCTCCAGCAAGCGGATGAAGTGCATACGGCTTCCAGGATACAGACCTGTCACAGGGCCGTTGACCTCGCCTTGCTTATACCAAGATCTGCATCCGCCCGCAAAGACTGTGCGAGGCATGATGGCTGAGATATGCTCAAAATAGTCCTCCACGGCCGCTTCAGACGGGGCAATAGTCCGTACGCCTTCCGTCTGGCATTTGAGGATGGTGTTGGCGATGTAAGTGGCAATGTGCTCGCTAAGCGTGAAAACATCACCCTGCACAACAGGTGCATTAGGGCCGAGGAACTCTACAGCAAGCAGGATGATTAGCTTCGAAGCGGTGAGCGCGAGGGAAGGCCGACTTACTGAAGAAGTTTGGCAGACCTGCAACGGCAAGGGACATGTATGCTTTAGGTGTTTGCTCGGACCAGATGTCCTGCAAGTTGCCGTGTCGACCGACTAAAGGGAACGATGGGAGGAACGATGAGTCGAAGCCAGTGGCGCAGACGACAATGTCAACATCGAGGATCTCCCCAGTGGCCAATTCTATGCCTTGGGGCACAAACCTCTTGATGGCGTCGGTGTGAAGGGAGACCCGGGGGTCGTGGAACGATTCGAGATATCCAGGGGCGGGAGTGAGCCGCTTACATCCAAGGGGAAAGTCGGGTATCAGTTGCTTGCAGAGCTTCTCATTTCCCTTGAGCATGGCTGTCATGAATTCCTTGGTTTTTCCCAGAGCCCATGCCTGTTGAGGGCTTCCAGCAATGAGCGAGATAGCGAACTTAATATTGGAGTCCATCTCGAGAGTCTTTGTAAACTTGTTGTAGAACGCCGGGTCCGTTTTGAACTTTTCGATTGTCGCCGCTGAGAATCGCTCGTTCTCGTCCATCTCGATTTGGCTGAGGAGAGCTGCTGAAGGTCCCATCTTCATTGTGGCAACCCGAGGAGGGATTATCAACGTTGGCGTCCGGATAATGTGGTGTAGCTTCTTCACGTCTGCTTGCTGTAAGCTGGCTGCGTCGCCGTGATAGGGGCGGGATGTACTCACGTGGTCTCATTGCTGGGACAATCTGGACACCGGATGCACCATTTCCAATGACTGCTACTGTCTTGTTTGTATAGTCAAAGTTCTTGGGCCAGTTTGCGCTGTGAATAAGGGTACCCTCGAACAGCGAGATGCCCTCCACGTCTGGAAATCTCCATTTACTAGGCAGGTCAGATGTAGGTACAGATGACAACTTGAATGACAATTTACGTACTTCAAGATACCAGTTGCGTCGATAAAAAAGTTGGCATAATCTTCAAAAACGGCGCCAGTCCCCAAGTTCTTGATCTGCAACTCCCACAATGCCTTGGACTCTGACCAAGCCGCCCCGATGATCTGATGCGAAGTCTTGATAAAGGGCCGCAGCTTCTCGTCGTCGCATATTTGGCAAAGGTAGTCCTCAATCTCCGCCGCGGGGGCGAAGAAGCTCGACCAGGCCGGATTCGGTCTCCAGCTGAACTGATAGTTGTGGCTCGGTACGTCGCACTTGCACCCGGGGTACCGGTTCTCGAACCAGGTACCCCCGACATTCTCGTTCTTCTCGTAGACCACAAGCTCGTACGTCGAGGCACCGAGAGTGTTTCTCAGAGTACGGATCAGGTTGATCCCGCTTGCACCGGCACCGATCCCGGCAATGCGAATGGGCTGCGGAGTCTCGAACGGGGCTTCCTTCACTGTGTAGGCGGTATTGGTGCGGGTAGGTTGACTGGATCCGCTACCCTGGGCGTCGACATGACGAGATAGTTGAGGGAGTTGCCGTGTCATTGTGGAAGCTGTTGGTTTGTGTGTCTGTAGAAATATCTAGGCAGAGAATAGAGGAGAAGAAGGGACCGGTTTATATCTGAGTTGAAGTTGCCAAGGGGCGTTGAGTCCCGAGGAAGGCGCCGGTGAGTGGCTGCAAGGAATCTCTTTCCGAACAAGCGCCTTTCTCCTGCTCGCTTGGTGGAGATACGGTTGAAAGAGAGGATGCGGGCGGTGACTGTGGACTTTTGGCAGGTGTAGCGCGGCGGCTTGTCACGGAGACTAGCCAATAATTGCAAAGGAGCGTCTACCTTGGAAGAATGGGATGAGACAACCCGAAAAGGGCCAAAGAGGAAGAAGCAACGAGTGAATCCGCTGGCGCAGGATCCAAGAGACGTTGTCCCTGTTAGTGACAGGCAGAGTCCGAGGTGAATTCTACCATGCCTCCGCGACTAACACCAAAAACCGCACCACCTTAGTGTGGGAGCTACGAGCTGACGCAACACAGCTTTCTTGTCAAGAGGTACACCTACCTACATAGACTTTGACGATAGAAAAGAGACAGCTCACATGAAACAAAACGGTGGATTCTACGGATAGAGAGGCGCCAATGGATATGGGTCCTCTCAATTGGGGGTTCATGTCGTAGGAGCCT